GCTAAAGATCATACACATCTAATAAGCCCCCAGATTGTGCAAAAGCTGATGGTCTTTTGAGTAGCCAGTTCTAGATGTTAGTTTGAGGCTTTGCAAAAGACTTCTAAGTTTGTCACACTATTGCCACTTTTGTCTAGAGTTACAGTATTCATGCCAGCATTTTGCTGTATGGTTATGCTATTGGAGACTTTTCCAGAAGTCCTTCATTATCCCTGAGTCACAGTAATTTTCTTCTTTCTTCTTTATTAACTTTGTAGATTCTTTTTTTTTTTTTTTTTTTGGTGAGGTGGGGGTCTTGCTCAGGCTGACCTTGAGCTCCTGGACCCAAAGGATACTCTTGCCTTAACCTCCAAGTAGATGGGACTCTAGGCATTGACTGCCACACCTGGCTACCGTCATAATTTTATATCACACTTAAGGATTTAATACTTCTGAAGTCTCCTTTGCATTGGGTATACATCAGGTATATTATTATTATTAATACTTTTTTTGGTGCTGGGGATCGAACCCAGGGCCTTGTGCAAGCAAGGCAAGCACTCTACCAACTGAGCTATAGCCCCAGCCCAATTTTTATTTTCTTCTTTATAGCAAGCCGTTTTCCCCAGTATCAAATAGCCCACTGTTTTCCCATCGATGTGTGATGCTTTGTCTTATTGCAAGTTCCAAGTTATATGGAAGAGTAACTCTTATACCTTTGTTCTTTCCTTTCAAATTTGACTTATTTGGGGAGCTTTGTCTTTTTAAATGAATTTTACAGTAAATCTGTTTAGCTTCTTGAACTACTCTAACTGAAATCTTGAATGAAACTATTGATTTATTTTTATACTCATTTACAGGAAATTAATATTTTTTACTATCTTCTCCCATCTGTCAACAGGGATAAATCACCATTTATTAAGATCTTTCATGTCTCTTAATGGGTTTAAAGTTTTTCTCTATAAGGTTTTGGTGTTATTATTCTTTATATCTATTACAAATATTTTGTTTTTGTTGCTTTTGAGAACAATATTTATTATATTTCTAAGTTGATTATTTTGACATAGAGAAATGTCATTAATTTTTATAAACTATTTTTTAAAATTTTAAAATTCTTTTTGGTTATACAAGAAGTAGAATGTATTTGGACATATCATACATACATGGAGTGTAAGTTCCCATTCTTGTTGTACATGATGTGGAGTTAAACTGGTCGTGTATTCATGTATGAACAAAGGAAAGTGAGGACTGATTCATTCTACTGTCTTTCCTCTTCCCATCTCCCCTCCCTTGGCTTCATTACCCGTTGTCTAATCCAAAGTACTTCTATTCTTCCCTCCTACCCCCTTATTGGGTGTTAGCATCTGCAAATCAGAGAGAATATTTGGCTTTTGGTTTTTGGCGATTGGCTTATTTCACTTAGCATGATAGTCTACAGTTCCAGCCATTTATCAGCAAATGCATAGCTCCATTCATCTTTATGACTGAGTCATATTCCATTGTGTGTATGTGTGTGTGTCTATGTGTGTGTGTTTATATATATAATATAATATATATAATATATTATATATATATAATATATATATAATACATAATATATATATATATATATATATCACATTTTCTTTATCCATTCATTTGTTGAAGGGTATATGGGTTGGTTCCATAGCTTAGATATTGTGAATTGAGCTGCTAGAAACATTGATGTGGCTGTGCCACTACAGTATTCTGATTTTAAGTCCTTTGGGTAAATGCTGAGGAGTGGGATAGCTGGGTCAAATGGGGGTTCCAGTCCAAGTTTTCAGAGGAACCTCCACACTGCTTTTCAGAGTGGTTGCATGGATTTGTAGTCCCACCAGCAATATGAGTGTGTCTTTCCCCCACATTCTCACCAACATTTATTGTTACTTGTATTCTTGATAATTGCCATTCTGACTTGAGTGAGTTTTAATTTGCATTTCTCTAATTGCTAGAGATGTTGAAAATTTTTTCATATATTTGTTGACTATTCATATTTCTTCTTCTGGGAAGTGCCTGTTCAGTTCCTTTGCCTATTTATTGAATGGGTTTTTAGGTTTTGGTTTTTGGACTGTGAAGTTTTGAGTTCTGTATATATCCTGTAGATTAATGTTCTGAGGTGCAGGTGGTAAAGATTTTCTCCCACTCTGTAAGCTCTCTCTTCACACTCTTGATTGTTTCCTTTGCTGTGAAGAATTTTTTAGTATAAACCAATTTTGTATTTCATAGTTTTGATGACCTTTCTATACAGCTTTTCTGCATAGATAATGATACTACTTTTTTATATATTTATTTTATTTTATTTAGTTGTAGTTGGACATAACACCTTTATTTTACTTGTTTATTTTTATGTGGTGCTGAGGATCAAACCCAGGGTCTCGCACGTGCAAGGCAAGCACTCTACCGCTGAGCCACAACCCCAGCCCCGATAATGATACTGCTTTTATGATTTTTAACTTTTATTAAAACTTTTCTGATTCCTATATAACTAAAATTATATTTTCATTATTTGCAAATAATGATACTTTTGCATATTCCATTCTTTTTTAATTTCATTTTTTGCATTTATCATTTATTTTATTTAAAAAATTAGACTATTTTTGAGCAGTTTTAAGAAAAATTCAACAGAGTATTGAGAGTTCTCATGTACTCCCTCTTCCATTCCCTAAGATTCCACTCTTATTAATATTTTGCACTGGTATTGTACATTTGTTGTAACCGATGAATCAATATTGATACATAATGGTATTAAATAAAGTCCATAGTTTGCATTAGAGTTCACTCTTTGTACATTTCTGTGGGTTTTGCCAAATGTATAATGTCCTGTATCCAGTATTACATATCACACAGAATAGCTTCACTGCACTAAGAGATCCCTTGAGCTCCATATGTTCATCCTTGTCTCCACTCCTGGATCTGTCAATCACTGATGTTTTTAGTGCCTCCACAGTTTTGCTTTCTCCTAAATGTCATATGGTTGGAATCATATGAAATGTAGCCTTTTCAGATTGCATGCAGATTGCTAAATGAAAGAAGACAATCTTTCACTTAGCAGTGTTTTTCCGTGTCATTTTGTGTTTTGATAGTTCACTTCTCCTTGTTACTGAATGAGTCCATTGCATAGATATACTAATTTGCTTTTCCATCCACCTACTGAAAGACATTTTGTGTCTGCCCCCCCCCCCCCCCGTTTTGGCAATTGGTAATAAAGTTACTGTAACATTCAGGTACATGTTTTTGTGTGGACCTAAGTTTTCAATTTCTGTGGGTAAATACCTAGGAGTGTGATGGCTGGATTGCACGTTTCAAGGTATCTTCAGTTTTGTAGGAAATTGCCCCGCTGTCTTCCAAAGTGGTTGTACCACCTTGTATGCCCACTAGCAGTGAATGAGTGCTCCTGTTGCTCCACATACTCGCCACCATTTGGTGTTAGTGTTTTGAGTCTTAGCTATCCTGATAGGAGGGCAGTGGCCTCTCACTGCTGTTTTTATTTCCCATTCTCTAGTGATGTATTACATTGAGTGTCTTTTTATATGATTATTTGCCATCTGTCTATCTTCTTTGGTGAGGTGTCTGTTCAGATCTTTGCCTTTTGTTTCGTTGTATTGTTTTTGCATTTTAAGAATTCTCTGGGGGCTGGGGATGTGGCTCAAGTGGTAGCGCGCTTGCCTGGCATGCGTGCGGCCCGGGTTCGATCCTCAGCACCACATACAAACAAAGATATTGTGTCCGCCGAGAACTAAAAATAAATATTAAAATTCTCTCTAAAAAAAAAATTCTCTGTATGTTTTAGACACAAATCCTTTGTTAGATATGTCTTTTGCAAGGTTTTTCTCCCTGCTGAGACCTTGTTTGTAAATTCCATTTACCAAATCCCCCCTTCCCCTGCCATGTATTGTACTTTTGGTGCTGTATCCAAAACCTTATTGCTGAGCCAAAAGTGACCTAGATTATTTTCCTATGTTTTTTTGTTTTTGTTTTTGTTTTTTGGAAATTTTATAATTTTGCATTTTGCATGTAGGTCTCTGAACCATTTCCAGGTAATTTTTGTGAGGGGTATAAGACCTGTATCTAGATTTAAAAAATTTTTTTTCATGTGTCTATAGTATACAGTTTTTCCAGCACTATATTTTGAAAGACTATGCTTTCCTCCATTAAGTTATTTTTACTCCTGTCAAAGTTCAGTTGACTATACTTGTGCAGGCCTATTTTGGGGATCTCTCTTCAATTTCATTAATTTATTTTTCTATTCTTTTCACCAGTATCACACTGTCTTGATCACTGTAGCTGTTTTTTTAATTTGTTTTATAACCTTGCATTTTTGAGGAAAAAAATTTGCAGTTGATTTTAATCTCAGTTACATAAGAAATAGGACACTTTTAATAAAAGAGAAAAAAAAATCACCAAACATTATAGTTTTTATTCTTCTGCCAAAGGCTTCATTCTTTCAAAAGCTGGAACACTTCTGAAGTGGGGCAGCTGGGATGGAGCTGTCACAGTGAGTGGGGACTGGCCTGTGGACTCTTTATCTGCCGACATTTATTTGACATCATTGAAAATGATAGGGAGCAGGGGGCCGTGGAGCATGCCTGTAATCCCAGAGGCTTAGGAGGCTGAGGAGGAGGGTCGCAAGTTCAAAGCCAGCCTCAGCAACTTAGCAAGTCTCTAAGCAACTCAGTGAGACTCTGTCTCAAAGTGCAAAAACAAAAAAAGGTCTGGGGATGTGGCTCAGTGGTTAAGGGCCCCTGGGTTCAATCCCCGGTACCAAAAAACAAATGAAATAAACAACAAACCCCAAAGAATATGATAGAGAGAAATACCAAGGGTAGGTTATTCATAGATATTATTATTTTCCTTTGTATTTATGGTGATTATTATTATTAGCACTGAATAGTTTATTGGAGACACATCTGAATACTTCAGCCATTTTAGACTTTAGCCATCAGGAGACATTTGTTGCAGTATGCATATGTGCAAGTCTGACCACGTTTTTGTTTTATTTTTAGGTCAATGATGCCTTCCTTCACGTGATACAGCGCAAATCTACGGGCAAGGTTCTTCTTTCTCTTAAATAAATCCTTACTTCTGCAGCAAATTCAGCATGTCCAAATCCAAACTCTCATTCTTTCCCCAAAACCTGATTTCCCCCTGTGTTTCTAAAGGTGTTACCACCTTTCTTACTAATCCAGGTTTAAAATCTGGAGTCACATGTGGTTCTGGCTTCTTATTGCTCATAATTAATGTGGCCATGGAGGGTATTGTCCAAACTTGGACCTTTCTGAGAGTGGAAGGGTGCTGTTAGTAATTGCACCAGATAAAGGCGTCCTGGGCAGCAGGATGGAGGGTCACCCTGTACAAAATGCGCTCTCTGCCGATCCTGCGTTCCCACTCTGCGGTCTCTCTCACCTCCTCCCTTCCGTCCTAATCGACTCCTCTGCTGCTTCCGCAGTCTTCTCACTGGCTTCCTAACTTTGAACTAATCTGTCCTCTCCGTCTGCATCATGCATTACTCCATGGTGGTCTTCCTGATGCATGGTTCTACGTCTTGCCTCAGGAAACCTGCAGTGGCTCACTGTGGCTTGCACGGTGCAGTTCAGAGCCCTGGAACCAGCATTGGACTATGGCCGTGATTTTGCCATCTCTGTTTTCCAGCCCATGTCTGCAGTTCCTCAGTCCCTGATCTTGCCCCTTCTCTCCTTCACTCTGTCAAACACGGGCTGTCCTGACCCCTGAGGCCTCCTGTGCCCCTTTCCTCTTCCTCTGCTGCCTTCCGGTAGCTTCTCCTGCAGGATCCTGTTACATCCTAACTGTTATAGGGTGTGGCCCGTGTAAGGGCCAAGAAGCGGGTCTGAATCCACTGTGGAGGTATTACATTCATTTTTCTCAGTGCAGAGTGGCTATTCCATACAATGTCTACCTCCCAGAGCTACTGTGAGCAATACTGGCAGTGATAGGGGAGTGCACCTGGTAGGTAGTAAGGGATTAGCAAAATGAAAGTAATCAGATTACTTAATTTCTTTCTTTTCTCCTTTCCCAGTAAATTGTAAGCTCCTTGAGAACAAGTATCATGTCTGATTCACAACTTTTTTTTGACTTCTCATACCACCTCCCATAGTGACTGAACCTGGGTAAATGTGAAATACATTGAACTGAATTTGAATGACCTGAAGCTCTTAAATCATAGGATTAAATTAAGAACATGTTGCTCTGTCCATCAGTTGGTGAATGGATAAGTAAAATATAGTGTGGACATACTGTGGAATATTATTCAGCCTTAAAAAAGAATAAGACTTGGATACTTGATACATTGTAGATGAACCCTGAGAATGTTACATGTGAAATAAGCCAGAAATAAATAGACAAATACTCTGATTTCACTTATATGAGAACCTAGAAGAGTCAGCTTGGCAGACAGGAAGTAGAACGGTGGTTGCCAGTAGGAGGGGAAAAATGGGGAGTTACTGAATGGATATAGTTTTGGAGTGGGAAGGGGAAGAGGTTTTGGAGGTTGGTGATGGTGGCATTACTGTGGGAACGCACTCAGTGCTGCTGAACTATACATGTAAAAATGGTCAAAATGGAAAAAAAAAGGTTAAAATAAAAATGGTTCAACTTGTTAATTTTATGTTATTTATGTCTTACCATATTAAAAAATTTAAAAAGAGAACATGTTACCCTGACTTCTCAGTGAATTGATTCCAGACACAGGGTGTGTACAGAGTGCTAAGTTCAGGAAGCTGCTGTCTGGGCCACGTCCTGGTCTGTGGGGAGAGGTCCTGTACCCTGCTGGGTGCTCAGAGGGCCCTTGGTGGTCAGACTTAGATGTTCCCACTTTATGACAGGGTGAAGGCCTTTGAATTTTGGTCTTCTCCCTCTCTAGCAGTGGGATGCTGCCTTGTGATGCTGGGCTGGCAGCTGGTCCCAGGTCCCAGGCGGCCCCTTCCCCCTGCGGGCGACCATGGACACACTGCTGGGTTGATGATCCGTAGGTCTCCTGTCTTCAACACATGCTTCTCGTAAGATGGGTTTGTGGCGACGACGCCATTGTGAGTTGAGGAGCACCTCTGTTCCTCCCACTGAGTGATGATGGTGAGGAGGGAGCGGGGTGGGGTCAAAACAGGCGGCACTCACAGCAGCCTTGTGGGGACCTGTGGGGACTTTTGAGGACGTGGTGAGAGTTTTTGTTTTCCGTTAAGTACCTCAGACCATTTAAAAACACCTGTCTTCTCAGGATCTTGTTCCAAAAGATTTTTTTTTTTTTAAATAGAATCATAAAATAAGGGTGAACATTTGGGGAAAGAATTTGAAAGCTGAACGACTGCAGAAGGAGGAGGGGGAAACGGCAGGGAAACCCTTGTGTCTCCTGGGCCCACGTGGTACTTCCATGGGGTGCTTCCCCGAGGCTCAGGGCACCGGCTGCCCCCTCCTGCCCCCTCCTGCCCTCTCTCCCCTGCCCTCTCCTGCCCTGCCTTCTCCCAGCCCCACTTCATCTTCATGGGACTCTTTTTACATTTAAATGAAGGTTGGTTTTTAAAGATCTCAAGAAACTCCACTGGAGGGTGATTTTGGAACCTCCCCTGGCATCATGAAGACATGGGGGTGGACCCTGGGAGAGAAGGAAGACAAACCAGGACTGGGGAGAGCTCCGGGGCCCAGCCGGGGCGCCCTTTTCACTGCGCAGAGCTGATCCCTGGTGTCACAGGCAATAAAGATCCAACGTCCCCAGCTCACTGGTGTCAGAATGACTCAGATCAAAAGAGGCACTCATGAAGGAGAGTGAATTCTTCAGAGGTAACAAGCACTGGCTAGAACCCTCATGACTGGTTCTCGGCTCGCCTGTCTTCCTGTTTCATGGGATGGTTTGATTTGAAAGCATTTGACTCATATTTTAGTCATTGTTGGGTGGCTCTACCATCTGAGCCATTAGTCTGAAAAAAGAATCAATGCGGCTCCAAGTGACAGTATTTATTCTGAATTCACAGACTTCCCCAGCCTCCTGGTAGGCTGGCTGCTGGCTCCCACCCACACACCTGCCTTGCCTTTTTCAGAACCCGTGGGCCCGTCCACCTGCACCTGCTTCTCTGGGCAACCAGAGGGAGGTTTTCTTCGATTAGCCACAGAAGGAGCCTATCTGCACCTCGCCAGCATGTTCCGTCCTCTCCTTCCTCTGAAATCTCCGAGTTTAGAAAGCCATCTTGAGCTACAGTGAAGACAATAAAAGCTTTGCTATTTGACCAGCGAAGGGAAATAGGGATGCCTTCCCACACTCACCCGTATCTAACAACCACCACCAAAGTACAAGAAAACCAGGAAAATCCCATGCTGTCATTTCATTTCCTTATCTTTCCTTCTGAGATCGTAAAAGGGAATCAAAGAGCAGTGATTTTTCACAATCTGTTTTGTTTAGGAGAGTCACCCGAGGCCGAGGCCTAATTGAATCAACCCTGGCATTTCCGGCGGTGTGCTTCATCAGCAGGGCTGGTTGCTGAATCAAAAATCTGAGCCAGCTACAGGCTGGTTTCTGGAACTTCATCATTGTCGAGGAATTCAAAACAAAGGTGGTCCCCCTCCTTTGGTTAACTGTTCTTAGAAGTGGACAGTTGTAGGTGAACATAATACCTTTATTTAATTTATTTTTTTACGCGTGCTGAGGATCGAACCCAGTACCTAATACATGCTAGGCAAGCACTCTACCACTCAGCCCCAGCCCCACAGAGGTTCTTTCTAAAATCAAGATATATGTGTGTATATATAGATTTAAAAATAGTACACACTGTTCTACAATGCACTGGCTTTTTATTTAAGCATACTTTCTATCACTGAGCTATATCTTTGGCCCTAATGTGCTGTTTTTAATCAATAATATATCATGGATGTCGTTGATGTTAGTAAATATACAGTAATCTCAGTCTTTTTAACTCCTTCTTGGTATTCCATAGTGAGGATGTACAGTGTATGTAATCCTATCCTTATCTGTGGGCTTATTCACCTAAACACACACTTATGTGTCAAACTCAGCCCAGCACCGGGGTACATAGTGAGCAGAAGCTATAAACTAGTTGGGGAGACAGATGTTAATCAATCACACAAACCAGGCTGAACGGGAGCCAGGTAAAGCATAATGGGGGGTCTTAATTTGGGGAGGGTGGTCAAGGAAGGTCTCCCTGAGGACCATCTCTTGAAGAATCCCTCCAGCTATAGTGGGGAAAAGGGATTGAAGAGGAACAGACCAATGCAGAGTCCATTTAGGTCCAATGAGAGATCTTCATAGCGTGGACTATGATGGTGGTCATGGGAAAGGATAGAAGTGGACGGAAAGGAGAACCATGTAGGAGATGAATGAAGGGCCCTGATGTTAGACTGGGGATAGGGCAGGGAGGAGGGGGACGAGGAAAGTGTCCACATGACTCTTAACTTCCTGGATGTGTCTGAGAGGACGAATAGCAAAAGAGAATTGGGTTTTGGCAGCAGAGAGGTATCATGAGGCAGAAGATGAAGTTTTGTACATTTTTACATTAAGTTTTGAGGTAACGGGGTGGGGGGTATCTTAATTTGGAGAGGTTAAGGAAGATCTATCCTCTTGGTGTTCAGGAGAGGTGTGCCTAGAGATGCATATTTGGGAGTCGTTTGCACGGTGATATTGATGTCCTTGGTGTGGCTGAGACGACCCATGAAGAGTTTGTGGAGTAAGAAAGGAAGAGGGTTTAGATCAGTCATGAACTGCTCTCTTCAGTAGAGCTGCCAACTATTTCATGGCTACGCTGAAAGAGACTATAGAGGGGGAAGTTTGGGGATTTAAAGTAAGTAACAAGTGATTAAAAGAAAGGATGTATCACACTGTGGCTAAGCTATCATCGGGGACCAGGGACCTGGCTCTAATTCCAGCTCTTTGATCTTGGACTACATTCACTTTTTTATTTATTTTTTCATCTGAGATGTAATATAATTTTTTTTTCTTTCTGCCTTGCATGGTTCATGAGGGGTGGATGAGATGATATACATGAAAGTGCTTTGCAAGTTGTCATTTTCATAAAGGATTACAAATGCATTAGTCAGTTTTCTACTGCTGTGACAAAACACCTGAAAGAAATCATCTTGAAAGCATTTATTTTTTAAAATTTTTTGTTCTAGATGGATGGACACAATACCTTTATTTTATTTATTTGTGTGATGCTGAGGATCAAACCCAGTGCCCCATGCATGCGAGGCAAGCCTTCTATAACTGAGCCACAACCCCAGCCCCCTAACATTTATTTTTGCTCACAGTTTCAGGGGTTTCAGTCCATGGTCACTTTGGCTTCATTGTCTCTGGGCCTGTGTGAGGCAGGACATCATGGCAGGGGCCACATGGTAGAGCAAAGCAGCTCATCTCAGGGCATCCAGGAAGCAGAGAAGTAGAGATGGAGAAAGTGAGAGTGAGAGGAAGGGGAAGGAGTTGAAAAGAATGTTCAAGGGGATGCCCTTAAGGATCTACTTTCTCAAACTAGGCTTATCTTGAGTTTCTACCATATGGTAAATTATGAATCCACCAATAGATTGATCCACAGTGAGGTTGGAGCCCCCATGATCCATTCACCTTCCAAAGGCTCCACCTCTGAACTCTGCTGCACTGGGGACCAAGCCTTCCCACACATGAGCTTTTGGGGACATTTTAGGTCTGGACCATAACAGCAAGGTTACCTTGTACCAGTGTGTTTAAATTCATTTCAGATTTGAAGCAAAAATTGTATATTTTTTCAGCATATGCTGAGCTGACACGGAGCAAAAGAATTGTTTGATTTTTAAAGATGGCTCTCAAATAGCTTTACATTTTAGCTGAGGTCAGTCTGCTCTTTTATACATAATAATAGATAAAGTGATGGGGGCCTGATGATCTGATGTACTTCAAAGACATATAGAGCCAGACAAAGTCTAGAGAAGGATACCTCATTTGATCAAGATGGTAGAGAGCTCTTTCTTTCTTTCTTTTTTGAGGAATGATAAAAGAAATAGGGCTCTTGATTCTGGAAAGACACAGGCTAAGAGAGGGATACGATTGAAAATTATAAAACAATGAAAATCACAGGATAAAAACATGAACTTATTAAATCCCAGAGCATAAGAACTGCAGACAACTTTAGCCTGCTAAAGAAATAGTTTAAGGGCAAAGTAAAAATAGCAGTTTTCACTCAGGAATAGTAAACACGTAGAACCTAACTACTTTCAAAGTTTTGCTGGGATCAAGATAAAACATTACAAGAGGAAGATTTATATTGTTGGAGAAGATAAATTCATAGCAGAAACTAAAATCGTTTGGCTAATTTTCCCTAGTCTTGGAGGATATCCAAGACAGGAGCCATGAGGCTTTCCTGACTCTGGCATCCCTTGTCCAAATCAGGATTCCTGAGTGGACCTGCTGGAGAGCAGGGGACACAGAATTTGGAGTCAGAAAGCCTGCCTGCAAGTATGACCTCTGTGATCCTAGAGAGTCACTTCTAAGTACTTCAGATCCCTCATCTGTTAAAAAGGGGAGGGGGGCAATAACATTAAAATCTGCCTAACTATTGTGAGAGGTTCAAATGAGGTGATGTTTCTGGAAGTGCTTTGTCATTGATCAATAGATGTTATCCTTATGGACACAAGAATTTCCTATTGTTGTAGCATTTCCAGTTCTATGCCCTCCAGATGGGTGGATCTTCACCTTGTGCTTCCTGTACTGACCTCCTCAGAGATCATATTTACCAACTTGGAAATGAAAGAGAGGACAGAGGGCAGGGAACAACCCCTGGTCCTCTAGGAAGGTGGAGAACACAGACACCTCTTTTCTCAGCACCTTTCCCCCTCGGGGCAGATCTGGTGGGAGAACTAAAGGTAGGGAGAACTTTGCAAACATCTCTTTTCTCTTTTGGATGTTATGGTGGTGGTAATGCTTTGGATATGAGGTGTTCTCAAAGGCATCAGTGTAAATGCAGGAATATTCAGAGTTGAAATTACTAGATCATGAGAGTTGTAACCTAATCCATTCTAGTTTGATGGACTAACTAGGTGGTAACTGCAGATAGGTGGGGTGTGTCTGGAGAAGGTGGGTGACTGGGGGTGTGCCCTGGAAGGTGCATCTTCCCTTTGGTGCCTTCCCATTTCTTTCTGCCACGAGGTGAGCAGGTTTCCTCTATGGTGCATATGGTGCATATTTTCCTCTATGGTGCACTTCTGTCATGATGTTCTGCCTCACTTTGGACCCAGAGCAATGAAGTCAGCTGACCAGGAACTAAATCTCTGAAACCAAGCCAAAATAAACTTTTCCTCCTCTAAATGGTTCTTGTCGGTATTTTGGTCACACTGATGTAAAGCTGACTAACCCAGAAACTGGTACCAAGAAGTAGCATCATTGATAAGATTAACTTGATGATGTGGTTTAGAAGTCTTTAGAACTGGCTTGCAGGAGAAATTTGGAGATGCAGACCTGAGAAGCCTTAGAATGTTAAGTTGAGCTCCATGGGCAATTCTGGTGAGAGCTCAGAAGACCAGAATGCCAATAGGAATGAGGACAGTAAAGATTGTGCTCATGAGGTTTCAGAGGGAGGTGAGAACTCTACTGGCAGTTGGACTGGAGGCCACATCTGTTAACATTCTGCCAAAGAACTTGTATACATTTTTCTTTACCTGTCCTGAGACTTTCTGGGGGCCAAATTTAAAGGTGATGGACTAATTAACCTGGTAGAGGAAACATCAAGATAGCACAGAATTCATACAGCAGCATAACTATTGTTGGCAGCATTTAACCAAGCTGGCTGTGAGAATTTGGAGCAATAAGCAGAGAAGGAGGACTTTAAAAAAATAAAACTTGCAGTTTGGCCTGAAGAGTGTGTGTAAGACTGGGGCCAGGTTGTTGAAGAGATTGCAGCCATTAAAGGGATACTAAGTACTTTGCACAAAGACAACAGGAAAGGTACCTTGGAGGCATCTCACACCACACCCACCATAGGTTCAAGGGTATAGAAGTAAAAATTAATTTAAGGGACCAAGGGTATAGATGTAAAAATTACTTTGCACAGAGAGGCCCAGGGAGTTTCTCACCATGCTCAGTTTCACCAGGTACTCAGAGGCCACTGCAGCTGTGGTGAAAGGGCATTCAGCTACTGCTTGAGCTGGTGGCAGATCTTGGCATCATCCTTGTGGTGCTGGTTCTGCAAGAATGCAGGATTCTTGAGTTAAAAGAGTCATGAAAGCTTCTACCAAGATTTCAAAGGAAGACCTGGGAGGCCAGGCAAGGTGTGGCAGGGTTATGATCCCTGTGGATGTCCCTGAGAGGGCAGTGTGTGACGCTGTGAGAAGGAAGCCCAAGCTGTAGTGAATAATCCTAAGATTAAAAGATGCCAGCAATGTGGGACATCTGCAGAGGAAAACTGCTGACCATGGACAAAGCCATCCTAAAAGATTGGCCTTGCTGGTTGCAGCCCATGTAGCCTAAGGGGTGTGGCTGTCCAAGCTCTTTGGAGATCATATCTCACAACCATATGCTCCACTTGTCAGACATGGAGTGCAGAAAACATTTGCCTGGCTGGGTTTTGATCTCATCTTGGTTCCATTTCTTCTATTTATGCCCCTGTTTTTCCCTTTTGGAATGGGAATGTTTATCTGTACCATTGTATATTGAATATATGTAATTTGCTTTTGCTTTTTTTTTTTTTTGGGAGGGGCTGGAGATTGAACCCAGGGGTACTATATCATTGAGTTACATCCTCAGCCCTTTTTACTTTTTTAACGTGAGACAGGGTCTCACTAAATTGCAGAGGCTGTCTTTGAACTTGAGATTCACCTGTCCCAGCCTCCTGAGTTGCTGGGTTACAGGCACGAGCCACAGAACTTGACTTTGCTTTTGAGTTTTACAGAGACTCACAGTCAAGAGTTTGCTTTGAGTCTCAGATGGGACTTTGGACTTGGACAATGCTGGAACTGCTAAGACTGTGAGGAATCTTGGAAATGGACCAAATGCATTTTGCATTGTGAGACAGGCATAAATGTTTGGGAGATCAGGGGTGAAATGTTATGGTTTGGATAGGAGGTATCCCCAAAAGCTCCTGTATTGATGCAGGAGTATTCAGAGGTAAATGATGAGATTATGATAACCATAACCTAATGAGTCTATCCTAGTTTGATGGACTAACCAGGTGGTATGGTATGCAGGTGGGGTGTGGCTGGAAGCTGTAGATCACGGGGCATGAGTCCTGGAAGGGTACACATTCCCTGTGATCCCTTCCCCTCTCTGCTTCCTGACTGCCATGAGGTATGCCACTGTCTTCCATGGTGCCCTCTGTCTTGTCTCACCCTGGGCCCAGAGTGGTGAAGTTGGCTGACCATGGACTGAATCTCTGAAGCTATGTGCAAAAATAAACTTTTCCTCCTCTGGTCCTTGTCAGGCATTTTGGTCACAGCAACACAAAGCTGACTAACATAGTGGTAAAATACCCCCTAAAAGATGGGGGTGTTTGGGTCTATGGGTGACTTTCCAGGTTCTTATAGTTGTTAGGAACCCTAAAAAGGCCTGTACCAGTGCCAGATGAGAAACAAACATGGTTTCTTTTGACTTCTCCTAGTTTTAAGATTTAAGGGAGAGAGAAAAATAATGGCATGAATTTTCCCTTCAGGATGGCCATTGCAGTTCCCTGTGGTAGGAGACTTGATGGAGATGGAGGTGGGGGCGCATGTCTTGCTTGGAGGACCCTCTGAATTCCATGTGTATCTTTGGGAATCTTGACTCTGGCAGTGGAGTACAGCAACAGCAGAAAGAGAACCACTAACAAATACTACCCCGTTCCTCCTTGGCACATATGAACCATGTCGCCTGGCTTTCAAGTGCCTGGCCTTATTTCCCATGTGATCTCCTGGAAAGAGAGTGGCCATGCACCAAGTAGGCCTGGGTTTGAATTTTGGCCTCATCGCTAAGAAGCTGTGTGATCTCAATTTCCAGTGCCCAAGACGGTTGATAATGCTCTCCCCTTACCACTGAGTTGCAATGAGGGTCAAATGAGATTTTTGTGAAGCATTTAGCACAGCACTTAGCACACTGTAGATCTAAGTGTCAGCTTTTTCATGACCCTCCAGTACCTTCTACTTTGTTAGAAAGTAAAGCTTGCTAACAAGCTCAGAGACAGCAGGGACCAGAATGTGCTCTGCTCACCGCTGTGTCTACAGCATGCCCACAGCACTGAGGAGCAGATCTCTCTCAGCTCTAGGTCATTCCTTTTCTGTGCTGGTTGTATCTACTGAGGGCCCACTGAAGGCCCGTTTCCTCAGTGAAGCCTCCGTGGATCTTGCTCTCAGAACTCTTAGCACAGAATCTGGCCTTTAGCTATAGATTTGCATAGAATGACACTTAGTGAACACTAACCCAGGTCCTGAGTTAGAGATGCCACCAGGAAGTCAGCTCCTGACATGCAGCACCTCTATCTGACACTATTTCCCTGGGGCCCAGAAGGGGCCCTGCCTTCAGGTCCTGCTTCTCTCAGGCGTGTTTTCCGGTATAGATTCCAGGATGGTGCCTGTCTTGCCTCAGACCTGAGGGAAACCTTGGGTTCTCATGTGCTGCCTTTGAGATGCGACATAGGGGTTGCTTTGTGCGGACCTCTCACTTTGAGGTCCTGCGAGGCATATTTGTAAGTGCCAGAGTTCCTCCATCATTCCTGGTATCTTGGCATTGATTTTGAAAGCTGTGTGGACAGTTTGTATTACAGCTGATGGTTCTCTCTGAATACGTTTCTTTTTCAAGAAAAACAGCTTTCACATGTCAGTTGGTGCTACTTTTATGTCACAAAGGGTGATTGCTTAAAAGACTCCCCTTCCTCTCTTTTTGCTCTGAAGACTGCAAGGGTCAGTGTTAGGAGCTGGACACACCTGCTGACCTTCCTCAGCCCTTTCTACTCTGAAGGAAGCATCAAGGGTAGTGTCTTTCTGCAGGCAGGTGGGGGGAAGTGGTCCTGGAACCCACCTACCTCCTGCCTTCAGGTCCTGCTTCTCTCAGGCGTGTTTTCCAGTATAGATTCCAGGCCTCCTCCTCAGTTCCGATGGAGCCAGGAACCCCTGGGACCCCCAGGACACCGCCCTGCAGCTTCCATGTCAGAGTCAATAACCTAGTGCTTCCTATTGAGCAGTTTCCTTTTCAGCTGGTGACATTTCTGACTTATTTATTATTTAATTTTTATGCTCTCCTTTAAAGGTTATTTTTTAAAAAAGTTTAAAATAACCACAAGGAGACCTTGTGATCCTCTTCTCACTGACCCAGATAGTTTAAGAGCAGATATTTTAAGAGACTGACAGCAGCCTCTCAACTGGGGACTTGGGCCGGCTCTCAGGAGCCAATGAGCTCAATATAATAATAAAATATTAATCCCACTTCCCGCACATGAAACACTCTTTTTGTTTTTCCTTACCTCCCTGAGCCCTGCGCCTCCTTCAGGGTGCTACAGAAAAAGTCTTGGACTTGGGGATGAAAGAGTTGGGTTCACTCTGACCTATAAGCTGTCTGACCTTGGGTGAGTCACTTCATGTCCCTGAACCTTGATTCGTCATCTCTAATCAGGGGTGCTGGGACCTCATGGAGTGAGCTGAGGGATTAAGGTCCAGTGGGCCTGGTGACTGGAAACACAGAACAGGCCCCATTGCTACCCTCTTCTGGGTGTGGTGACCAGTTCTTGGGCTTAATAGTGGCCCAAGAGCTTATGCTCTTTGTGTAAAAGTATCATCTCAGGCTTCCTTAAGCTGCCTGTTGTGGGTTGAATTGTAGCCCCTAAAAGGTATGTTGAAACCCTAACTGTTGGTTCCTGTGACCATGACCTTGTTTGCACAGAGGGTCTTTGCTGATGTGATCCAGTTGTGATCAGGCCATATTGACTTAGCATGGGCCCTAAATCAGTGCCTGGTGTTCTTATGAGTGGGGAGATTTGAACACTTGCGGAGGGCAGATGGCCTTGTGGAGATGGATGCAGCAGTTGGAGTGATGCAGCTATAGCTGGAGGAAGGCCCAGGATTGTTGGGAGCCACCAGAAGGTAGGGAGAGGCGGGAAGGATTCTTCTCCAGAGCCTTTGGAGTGAGCACAGCCCTGTTGACACCCGATTTTGGGCTTCTGGCCTGTACAGCTGTAAGAGAATAAGTCTCTGGGGAAGCACCAGAGATTGAACCCAGGGGCACTTAACTGCTGTGGCACCTCCCCAGCCCTTTTAATTTTTTATTTTGGGACAGGGCCTCACTAAGTTGCTGAGGTTGGCTTTGAGCTTGTGATCTTCCTGTTTTAGCTTCTCAAAACACTGGGATTACAGGTGTGCGAGAATAAGTTCTTAAGAGTTTTAAGCCACCAAAGTTTGTGGTAATTTGTTGTGGCAGCCACCGAAACTAACACACTGCCTAAGAGTCTAAATAAAATATAACCATGGAACGATGTTTTGGTCTATGGTGGACCACAAATATCACAGGTCCCATGTGATTCTAATGGAGCTGAAAAATCCCCACCCCCAGGGACTTCAAAGCCACTGAAGCCTCACTGGAGCACAGTGCACGGCTCACAAGGCTGCAGTGACGCTGGTTTAAATAAGCCCACTGTGCTGCCAGTCGTCTGAGGCATAGCACCTGCGATTTCCTGCAGCACACTGTACTTGGTGATGATAATGCCCGAATGGGTCGTGTCGTCACTGTGTGTTTTTTTAACATGATTTTTTATAACTTGTTTTATTTTGTTGAGTGATGCCTGGTTCTTTCCTGGGATCATGGGGGACAACCTAAAGTGAGCAGGGGCTTGCTGGTGGGTATGTGTCCTTTGCTCCCAGAGTACTGTTCTTCCTTACCCCTCTGCCCCTCCACAGCTTTGAATCACAGGCCATCAGAACACCCCTACCCTTGCCATGCCTGGTCGTCTGCCAGCCTGGGGGTGTCATCCCTCCCTTGGGGAAGCTTGTGGTCCTGCTGGCTCCCGTGCTCTTCTTCCTCACCCTCCTGGCCTCTGTTGGTGCTGTGTTGCCCACTTAGCTCATTCTTTCTGGTATTACTACCCCCCCACCCCCGTCGCCCCCCGCTCCCCTCCCCCCCTGAATCTTTGGGAGTGGGAGGTAGGCATACTTCTTTCGCAGTTCCCAGATCATTCTAGTGTGTGGCTCAGTCGAGAAGCCCCAGAGTAGATGTTTCCAGCAGCGCTTTCTCCCGCCTGAGCCAGCCGTTCTCACAGTCGTGCCCTCCTGGTGGTCACTGCTCCCCTAGAATCCCTGCTCCTCCCCTTCCTCAGCCTCCTCAGGCCCACGACCCATCACCCCTGCACCTCTTCACCGTCCTCGTGACCTTTGGGCCTCACTTTCTGCCCTCCCAGCCTGAGTCCAGGATCCAGGCTCTGCTCCCTGCCTCCTGCTGTCCTTCTGACGCCTTCTCTTGGCAAACCCCAGCCTGACAGATCTCTGCTTGTCTATTCACATCTGTGACCAAGCACCGAACCTCAGGGTGTGCCTGAGTGAAGGCACCCAGCTGGCTTGCTGCTCTTAGTTTTATGAACACAGAACTCGAGTGGACTTTCAATGCTGTCGCATTTCCCCAGTCAATCCTTTAAGGGGCGATCTCACACTGTCTCCCTCCAAACCAACTCCCTCCAATATCTCTGGCCCCCTCAGTCCTCCAGGGCTGAGCTCGCTCCTGCCTTCAGAAGATTGCACCCATGGTCACTCGATTGGCACTCTGCCCCAAGTGGGGCCATGCACACCTCCCTGGGTGCATCTCACCTTCTCAGAGAGGGAGTCCCTGACCCCTCTGCCTAAGACAGCCTCCCGCCCCCTCGGACTCTCCCTTGATTTATTCAAGGCACTTACCACCGTCTGCCTCATAAGATGGATTTGTTTTTCTGGCTTGTCTCTCCCCCTGGCTAGCATGCAGGCTCCGCGAAGGCTCCTTCTGGGTTGCCTCCTGCCTACATGCCCAGCACCAGGTACACAGCAAGCTCTCAGGGAGGGAGATGAACAGAGGAATGGATAGGTGGTGTGTGCTTGTGACCTGCTGACCTGGGAGGACATATGAACAGTGATTCAGACTTGAAGGTCTGGATCTATACTAGACCTGGATTCAAAGTCTGCTCCTCTCCTTGCTAGCTGTGGGACCGGGAACAAAGTCCCCAGCTTCTCTGAGTTTCAGCTTTTCTCATCTGTAATAAAAAGGGCTAGATAATGGGAGCTACTCCGTGGGAGTGCTGCATGCATTACATAAATAATGCACAACTGGCATGTTACATACACTCAAGAAATGTTAAAGAATAGAATAATTATTACTAGTCTGCAGTGTTTTTTTGGAACGCTTCTAGTTGTTAACTTTTCACAATAACTCTTGATTTACTCCACTACTATTAATCTCGTTTTACAGGTGAGGAAACTGAGGTTCAGCGAGATCCAGTGATTGATCTGGCATGGTGAGGCCAGAGACAGGCAGAGCCAGGAGCCCGGTCTGGATGGTGGCTTTAGAGGCCGTGTGTGGAACTGTTGTAAATTGCTGCCTCTGGTTTAAAAATGGGCTTCCCACTCTTACACTCACAGAAGTTTGGGGAGTTCGAGATGTTTTTCCCTCATTTGACTCAATCTTGTGGTAGGTAAACATGAGATTTTTGGTCTGTTGTAAATAAGTAGTTTAAGGGGTTGGGGTTGTGGCTCAGTGGTAGAGTGCTTGCTTAGTGAGTGTGAGGCCCTGGGTTCGATCCTCAGTATCACATAAGAATAGAGCTTAAAATTCTTTCAAGAAGAAATATTTATACTTGTAGTTTTCTACCTGAGTTTTGGTTCAGCAAAATCAGAGCTACAACCTCAGTCTCCTGATGCGCTTGGAATGGACCAATGAGATTCAGAAGTTAAGTATTTAGGACCATATCAATCACTGCATTTTTCGTCTTTTATTCCATTGTTTAGTGATACACAGACAAGTCTGGTAACTTCCTCAACTTACCCAAGATGTCTTAGCAAAGCAAAATGCAGGTCTATGAACATGAGGATATGTGTTTGGTGTGCATTTTCCAAATGAGCCTCCTTTTTTTTTTGGTGGTGGTGGTGGGGGTAGTGGGGGGATTGAAGCCAGGGTTGCTTTACCTGTGAACCACATCCCAACCCTTTTTTTTATGTTTTACTTTGAGACAGGGTCTCACTAAGTTGCTTGGGGCCTCCCTAATTTGCTAAGGCTGTCCTTGAACTTGTGATCCTCTTGCCTTAGCCTCCTGGGTTGCTGGGATTACAGGCGTGTATCACCATGCTCAGCCCAAATGTGCCTTTGTTTAAGTAAGTGAAATGTGTGGAAATTAGATTGCAATATTGTATTAGGATCAGGGTCACAAGTCCAATGTGAACTAAGGCCCGATATTATTATTAAGAGCCTGGATAGTAGAAGTATTCTAGGAACATGTGCTGTTTTTATAGATAATGTGCACTTCAGATTTTAAATTCTTTGCTATTATTTGTTTTTTCATTGATTTCTGTTTTCAACCTACCTTCTTAAAATTAATTTGGGTTCATCTGTCTCCTGGCCTGTCAGAGCATTTATTGCTAAAGTCATCTACTTGCTGTATACCTTCTGCTTTTCATGGAGATCTATTTGTATGTTTTGTTTAGTTGAGTGATTATTAACAAAATAAAGGAGAGTTCATGAATTGCAAGATGAGATGGCAAATGAAGACCATATTCAACTATTTTTTTGCATAAATATAAGGAAGTGTTTTTTTTTTTTTTAAAGAGAGAGAATTTTTAACATTTATTTTTCAGTTTTCGGCGGACACAACATCTTTGTTTGTATGTGGTGCTGAGGATCGAACCCGGGCCGCACGCATGCCAGGCGAGTGCGCTACCGCTTGAGCCACATCCCCAGCCCAGGAAGTGTTCTTTACACATAGAGCAAGAACATGCATCTTCTCTAATCATGATTAGCTAGGTTTAGCAGGATCTCTTGATATTTGCAGCATAATGTTGTGGATCTCTGAGATCTTCTTCCCTATTTAAGTTTGAAATTGAGGGCTTCCTCTATTCTAGATAATGCATACATACATATATATGTACATACATACAACATATGCCTCTGATTTGTACATGTATCTACTTGATACATTGTCCTCATGGGGCCTGAATATCTTGAATTTTCTAAACTTTCCCTGATAAAACAATTCTGTGTTATTCATACTGTTAAGATAATTTAATGTCCAAATACATGTTAAGATAATTTAATGTCCTATACTTCCTGTTATGATTTAGATGTGAGGTTCCCCCAAAAGCTCATGTGTGAGGCAATGCAAGAAAGTTTAAAGGTGAAATGATTGGGTTATGAGAGTCTTAACCTAATTAGTGCAAAAATCCCCTGAAAGGAATAAACTGGATGGTGACTGTAGGCAGATGGGGTATGGCTGGAGGAGGTGGGTCCCTGGGGCATGCTTTTGGGTTTACATTATGTCCTTGTTGAGCTGAGCTCTCTCTCTCTGCTTCCTGATCATCCACCGTGTCCTGGGCTGCTTTCCTCCTACACTCTTCCACCATGATGTTCTGTCTTGTCTCAGGCCTGAGGAATGGAGTTGGCCATCTATGGACAGAGACCTCTGAAACCTTTGCCCCTCAAATAAACTTTCCCTCCTCTTATTGTTCTTGTCAGGTCTTTTGGTTACAGTGGTGAAAAAACTGACTGTAACACCCCTCTTTCATTTTAATTTAAAAAATATGGTGACCTCTCCTGTGTTCTAATTATGTAGAACATATTATTTGGTCATTAGTCAATACGAGCTTTTATTTTTCACTATCTAGACTTGTAGCTGAAATAGAGGGATTGGTTGGTCACTTCCAAATCCTTTCTCCTTTCCTCAGATGTCATTTTGAGGAAATGCCTGATTCATCCCTGGTGGCATTATCTGAGGCAGTATGGGTTGAATGCCAGTGTCTGCACCATCTCTGCCCTGAGGCCCTCCCTGTGTGGCACAGATCATGGGAGGGCATGAAGATGTGACCCACCTCTGATAACAATCTGGAGGCTGGGAGGGCCATGTGACATTTGGACTGAAAGAGTGTTTTCCATTTCTCTGTGGCATAGTCTGTCTGTTCCAGATAAGTACAAGGGCATCTTTTTTTTTTTTTTAGTTGTAGATGGACACAGTGTCTTTATTTATTTATTTGTTTTTACGTGGTGCTGAGTATCGAACCCAGTGCCTCACATGTGCTAGGTAAGTCCTCTACCACTGAGCCACAACCTCAGCCCATCTTTAGAATTATTGAGTGTATTTTTAACAGAGGGAGAAAAAAACCCCAAGTCTACTTAAGATTTAGAAGAAGGTTCAGAAACATAAGTTCAGGCAAGTTACCACTTGTCCATGATTTGCACAAAATAAAAACACCTTTATGTTTTTTTTCTGATTATCTAAATGATTTTCCTTGAAAAAAATTGAAATGTATTTAAAAGTATAGAAAGTAAAATAGAAGTCATATGACATCCCACTACTTTCAAATAGCTAATTAACACTTTTATAAACTTATACATACTTTAAGCATAAACAGCTTTCACAGAGACATTTTACAGGAATAGGATGTAATAAATACTGTTTCATTGTCAAGCCTTTTTATTTTTATTTTTCATTTTTTACAAGATCATTTTGAAGCCTTTTAAAAAGTTATTTCCATCTCTATCAATACTCCCTTTCATATTTTCTCTCTCAAACAAAGGAAGCATTATTAATTTCCAGATATGTAACTTTTATATCCATTTATCTGTATGGATACATAGACACTCACATATAATATTTTTTAAAAATACCTTTATTTATTTATTTTCATGTGGTGCTGAGGATCCAACCCAGGGCCTCACACATGCTAGGTGAGCCCTCTACTGCTGAGCCGCAATCCCAGCCCAAATTCATAATTTTTTAATGAACTAACATCCATAATGCTAAAAGTCCCTAAGTTTTCTTTAAATTTCTAATGCAGATACCCCTTTTTTGGTCAATTATTAACCTGCTGTCATGATTATTTAAAAAGTCAATGTAATATTTATGTTCTCCTTGGGGTTTTCACTCAGATACCCTAAGAGGTATTTGTGCTTTCTTTCTGTAATTTCAAGTAGTGTCTGCTTTAATTCAGACCTTCTCAATATGGTGGTCAGGTCATGTTTCCAGCCTTGGGAACTACATACTAAATCATTCCGTTGGGAAACTGTGGCTGAAGCAGAAAGGTTCTGCGTGGCTGACGTGGCATCACTTTTTACAGTGTCTGCCAGCTGTGAGTAATAGCAGGCTGTCATGAGGGGATGTAGCAGAAGCAGCAGCAGGAACTCCTGATTTAGTGGCAAAAGATGTAAGTACTTATTTTCACCATTAACCAATTAACCCAGACGGAACCCAAATGAAAAATGCTGAGAGGGAATACAATTCCCACTGGAGACCCTTCTAGCACATTCCTTTGAGAAGTCTTAGGTCTTAACCAGAGAAAAAAGGCATTAAGCCAGCACATGGTTTCAGCAAAATGAAGAACTTAACAGGATCTTTTTTGTAAAAACTAACCTCAGACAGGCTATGCCGTGTTTAAACCCTAACTTTGTACAGCACCCGCATACCCTGGCAGGGGCTGTCCCCTGTGGGATGGAATGCATGGCTAATGTGCATAAAAATTACATAAAAATTGAGGCAAGTTTGATTATGGTAAGATGAAAGGAGGCTTAGCAACTACAGTGTTTGGGGAGAGGAGAGGCCTGTTAAATATTTTAAGAAGGATTCAAACTGGTTAAAGCTGACTTAGAAGCAATGTGGAAACTTCTGTTCTCAAGCTACATGGATGAGTAGGGGCCTGATGCCTGCCAACTCCATGACAAATGAAACCCTGGCACAGATCCCGTTAACTAAGAGGTGGCTCTGTGGCTGCTGTTCCCAAGACTTCCACTCTGGAAGTCATGTCCAGAGTTCCTGGCATTTCAGAGTCCATAAACCATGTGTGTATGGGTTGGTGATGTTTTTTTCTTTCTGGTGAGACTCTTTGATGTCCGGAGCTGCATGAAACCTTACAAATGACCACCAGTGCTCCATCCCAGGTGCAGTTAACGTATTGACCAACAGCTATTTCTGATTGTCACCTCCATGCTGTGTATACCTAAGTGAATAAGATGAAGAGGTTGCTGCTCCGTGGAGTTTGTGTCCCAGCAGGAAAAACAGGTGTTATGAGAGGAGGAATGAACATGAGGCTGGTAGGCTGCAGACCTGGATTTGGGTCCTGGCATTGACGCCATGAACCATATGGCACTCTGGCTGTAGCTTGTGTGCTAGGAAAACGGATGCGTGGGAATGGCTAACCTCTTCAGTAGTTGGTTCTTCACCTGGTGTGAGTCTCCCCTTGAGGAACAGCTTCCAAACAGCATTGTATTTTGGGAGGGGTGCTTTACTTACTCAATGGGTCTCCCCTGTCACCAACCAGGCCTCATCAGATTGTGATATTCTCTGGCAGAAACTGGAAGAATCCTCCTAGAAGGGCCCACTTACAATAAGACATTCGTAGGAGAAAGGGTTGCTTTTGAGAAAGATTCTTAAAGGAGCTAACCCCACGGAATCATCTTAAATGCCTGGCTTCTATTTTCAAATGGTTAGTGATTGGAACGAGTATCTCTACTGATGCTGAATTTGAAGGACAAAGATAAGAAAGCCCGACACCAAGGAAAATGAAATTGCTTAAAATAGGCATGACCGACAGGCTTATGTTTGAAAAAAATTTAACTTGAGTCAAAAAATAAGGCAGGCTGTGGTTTCAAATAGAATAGAATCTGCCCACCACGTGACTGTGTGGTGCATCTTAGCTTTTCAAGACCCCTCACCATCAGCTTAGTCATTCTTGATGGAAACTGTGGGAGTTTCACGTTTTAAGAGAAATGATAGATGAAACGGATTTCTTTAACATGATTATTATATATACTGTTTCCCCATCAACCTTGCTTAGCCTAGTTCACACAATTATCTACATGGCCATTCTCCTATCTCTTGCTGCCTTCCTCCCTTCTCAAAGGCAGAGGTGTACTTCTCGACCTGGGGCACAGCCCTTCTCCTGACCATCCATCCCCATCAGCCTCGCAGGGACCACCATGCTCATTACTCTGCTATTCCTCTTGCATCTCGGCCTCTCCTTTATGCCAGATCTTCCATCTTGTGTAAAAACACATTCAAGAGTCTTTCATTTTATACCAACCAACCAAGCAACCCGCAATCCCTTCCCACCATCCTCTCCCTTTCCTGATCCTTCACCAACCTTATAGATTCCTGTGGACACGTTCCCTTCTTATGTGACTTGATCTCTAACTAAATCTGTTCTTTCTATCTCTTCCTCTTTCTGACACTCCCTCCTCCTTGGCTGCCCTGATGCTGTTCTGACTCCCGTCTTGGTCTTTGTGCATCTCTATCTTTCTCTGCTTTTTACCTTAATGTGTCCTTTTCTTATTTTGAAGTCTGTGCTCATCCTTGATAACCTCATTCATAGCCAGGATTTTAATTATGACACATGCTGACAATACTCCATAAACTCCATATAGATCTTAAGGATTAAGAGACGACGGATAAAGAGATGAACACCACCCACCCAAAGTGTATGCTCCTCAGACTTCTCCCTGAGTTCCTGACTCACTGTCACTGCCTAGCCACCTCTAGTACATTGTCCTGGGGACATCTCAACTTACTGTGGCCCAACCTGAAATTACCTTTGCTCATAAAACCTGATTCTCCCAATAAACCGAATTTCACTGGATCAGGGGCATTATCATCTACAGTCACCAGTCCAGAGCTGTAGAAGGCCAGCTAACTTCTACATCCTATTTATTCTTCCTGCTGTCTGTCCCACTGTCTGCTCCCTTTTCACCTGTGCTTTGGTTGAGCACTGTTTTGAGGAGGACCATGGTAATTGCGACCTAAGGTTCACCTTGTCTGCAGCCTCACATTCCGAAACCATCTACATTGTGACTTGTGTGATCTTCATGCTACCCCCTGCTTTTAATCTTCCGCAGAGATCTGAAGCCTCCATGTTTCAGTCAGTGCTGACTTGACGGGACTTTTTTCCCCATATGGCTGTGTGGCAGCACCCTCCAGCCTGACTGAATGTGGAGGATCACCAGAACTCACTCATCTGAACACCCCCTCCATGCCTGGGCACTTCCTGATTCTTCTTCCGGACCCTTCCCCCAACTTACCCAAATAAATTTTAATTATCCAACAAGGTTCAATGAACACTTTCTCCCCCAGGAAGCCAAGTTGGCTGCCCTTCCCTGCACCTATGATAATCTACGTAACCTCTAACACTTATCAAGGATGTGATTTTATTTGCCTCTGCAGTTGAGTGTGAAAACTTATGAAGAATTGTTTTTTTTTTAAATTTTCTGTATTCCTAATGCTTATAGTCTGAGGTACATACTAGCTAATTATTTAACTATCATTGAATGAATGAACGGGGGAGCAGTTGGCTGCCTGGAGCTCTGGGTTGACATTCTGTTGTCTCAGTCCACCAATGGGAAGCATTCTTCCTCCCCAGTAGTTCAGACTAAGTTCAGGGTGTGAGTCTTTGGACACATACTGTCTGCTGAATCAGTCACATGGCCAGGAGATGCAGGAATATTGGTTTTCAGGTCTGAATTTTTGTGCCTGTTCTTCAGGCCTGAAATTTTGTGAGCAAAGGTAGGGCTGATCCCACCATGATAGACAGAGACGGGGCAGGAAAGTTCATCAAAGGGAAAATTGATGATTTATTGTCAGAAGCCAGAGGATGGGTTGCTGGGCAGGCAGAAGTAGCAGAGAGTCATCGTAAGTATGTGTAAACTAGGGGGTCCTGGGGACAGCTGGGGCTGTGCTCCTCTCTTCTTGGCTGGGTGAGGCCAGCTAGGAGGGTCTCTTCAGTCCCAGCCCTCAGCACTCCTCTTTGTATTTTAAGTTCAAACCACAGTGCAGAAAACCTGCTGCTGATGCTGTGACCGCTCAGGCCTTCCCCGGCCTCCAAGCCCTTATCGCTTCCATCCTGCGCAGGGCTCACGGCCTCCTCTGGCCAGGACAACACTTTCTATCCTCCCGGCCTCTGCTGGCATTGTATTCTGCTGAAAAGCCTCCTCTGGAGTAGGGCTGATGCTTTGTAACGCATCTCAGCTGCTGCTTACTGTCACCCTTTCCTGGTACATAGCATTAGAATTGCCTGTTACCTTGTCCGTGTCCTATTAGGCAGTGAACTCCAAGAAGACAAGGAACAAGTTCACTTTGTTCATTTCCTGGGGCCTCAACACCTGAACAATGCTCTGTGCATAGTAGGTACTTAATAAACACCCAGTAAATGAAGTACAGTCTCCTACCATTTCTTGGTTATTAAACAGCACGCAAGCTGATTTGGGCTTAGCAGCCTTATTATAGGAGTTATGGAGAGTCCATTCATATGGGAGGAAAATTCACTTATAAAGAATAAGTGAATTCATGTTTATCTAAAATATTATTTGTTGAATGAAGCAGGTCTTTTTTCAAACCTCAACCCTGGATTCAGTTAGTGACATCATTTATTCAATGAATGACATTTGGACCAACACTAGAATAAGATGTCGTGGTGTCATTAATGTCACAGGGCCTAGGAGGCGTCTTCTTACTGTAAAACTGAATATGTGTAGCCAGCTTGTGCAGAAACCACATCTCAGGAGCAATGTCAGGCAGGGCATGAGTCTTCACTCTGCGGGCCGCCGACCGACGACATTCATTGATGGGATGCTCCCAGGAAACAGTGAGCGTTGGCAGCCTCCTCTGTGATGCCTTCAGACACGCATGCCTAGGAAAGAAACTTCTCCATCATCTTGTTGTGCCCTTAAATGTCCTCCAGAAACTGAAGTTTGAACTTTGTTTTTTGGCATCATAAATGGCTCCTATGGAAATTTCCCTGATGTGCTAAATTCAGCATTAGAACAGCCCCCCCCCCGGGGGGGGGGCATTGCTCTAGCTGCAGGCACTTATTCCAGACAGAGGGAACGAGAGATGTGAGTCCCTCTAAAGCACGCGTTTGCATTCACACTGCACACGGGGCTATTTTTGTACGGGGAACAGTGGGCAGACGAGCAGAACACCACAAATTGGTGTGAAACTTTGTTGGCTGACAAATGGGGTGAGGAGAAAATACAGAGATTAATCTTTGTGCTCTTATTTTTATCACTAAATATCTCCCTACCCACCTATCTATCATCAGGTTGAATGAATCTATTTATATGAGCTGATACCTTTGAAGGTTGCCATCATTGTATTCACATGCAATGGATTTTTAAATAATTGCATTTTTTGTGTTAAATATATTATGTGGCTATTACATAATAGTTGTGTGATTGATTTGCCTCCATTTCGGACTAATATTGAAGCACTGGGTGTGTTTGGTGAAATCTCTGACCCTTTCTGATCTTGTGGACAAATTCTACTGATAGTGCTAGGTAATGAAAATAAGGATTCAAGGACACACATCTCAGGGAAAGACAAGCTATGATTGCAATAGATTATGATGAAAGAAAGGGCAGAATCAATATTAGAAACAATAACCTCAGATTATATTATAAACCCATAATGAAGGATAGTTAAGGTAGAAGTTAAACAGGAGCTGCTATGATAAAAGCTAGATAAGAACATGTGCCCTGAACAGTCTAGAAAGTGACTCTTCTACCATGCTCAAACTTTTGTTGAGCACTTACAATGTGCAGGCACTTGCTATGTGCTTTTCCCAAATCATGCATTCATTAATCCATCAAATTTTAATTATGCATCTGCTCCATGTACACGCCACAAACAGGACTTCTTTATTCTACAATGACCTTGTGAAGATGAGATGTCTATTATTCAGACATTTAACAAAGAGGGACACAGCCTGGGAGGTGAAGAGCTTGCTTCAAGTCTCCACGGAGGAGATGGACCTCAAATCCAGTTCTGATTGCAGAGCTGGAGCTCTTGACCAGTGCGCTGTAGCCCACTTGTGAATTGTGAGCTCTGCGTGTGGCTTAGCTGGCCACACCTTTAACAGGAGCTAAAGATCCTGGACGAGAGGAAGGCAAAGATTTATTGAAAACCCACTCCTGTGTTTAACAGGCACTTCGCTGGGCGATTTGCATCTACTGTTTCATTTCATCTACAGCCCTTTGAAGAACTTTTTGAAGATGAAGAATCTGAGGTTTATAGAGACGGGATGATTTTTCCAAAGGCACGTGGCTGGGAAGTAGCATAGCAGAAATTAAATCTACCTTTCAACTCCTGTGTTCTTTCCTTTGGATCTTGGTTCCTCCCCAAAATGATCAAGGTAGGAAGTTTTATAAGGGGCTGTGTAACCTGGAGAGGAGAAGGCTCCCCGGTGGCACGGTGGCTGTTTCCCTTCTTCCTGCAGTTGAAATGAGAGTTTGAGTCACATTCGTGTGTTATCTATTGTGTAGAGCATCCCGAGCCTAAAATGTTTCTCTGAGGAGCTTGGGAATATACCTTCCTTAGAGAATAAGCACTGTCTGTCCCAGGTGAAGCAAGAGAGAGAGAGAGAGAGAGAGAGAAGGAGAACGCCACTGAGCCCCTGGGGACCCTGTAGAACATTACGTAACAGAATTTTTATCCAGCAATGGAGAGCTGGTATCACAATCCGTCTGTAAGTGAAAGAGTTGGATGCGAGCGAGGGCCTCGGCCTGTGTCTTGTTGGCTTGGACACTGTTCACCTGCCAGGATGGATTCTTCCCAGCTCACTGCCTCTGTGTGTCTGAATGTCTGCTCTTGTTCAGAATGTGTCTCTCAAACTTTTCCACCAAATGGCCTGAAATGACTTCTGTGCGTGCGTGTGTGTGTGTGTGTGTGGTGTGCGCGCACGCATCTGTCTTATTCCAATATGAAATTTCTTTGACGCCTTCTGCTTAATCTTAAAAATTAAGATAAGTTGGAATTTTGCTCTGAAACATGTGCTTAAGATGAAAATACCTTTTATTATTGCTTAAGAAGAATTTCGATGCTTATCCTGTGGCGTCCTGCATTGTCTGTGGGGCTACGAGTACTTCTGTGTTGAAGCCCTGGACTATACTTTCTTAAGGTTGCTCATTCTGCTAGTTCTACCTTCATACTCACTTTTTTTTTTTTTCCTGTGTAGTCAGGTGACACAGTTTCTCTATTTCCTGATCTCATGGCTCCATGTCAGTTGTGCACCTCACAGCAGCAATGGATAAACTCATCCTTCACCCATGAGTCATGCAGAGCTCTTGGTAGGCACTCTCCAGTATTGCCAGGAAAATGATAGCTATTAATTAATTGAGCATTTACTATGTGTCAAATATTTTGTAGGTTTTTGATCTACTTTCACCCTTGTACTAACTCTGTGAGGTAGGAGGCCTACCTCAGTTTTACATATGAGGAAAAGGAGACAAGAGTAACTTGTGCCAGCAGATAGTGAAGCAGGAGTCACATCCAGATGGCCTTATTTCAGGGTCACTGTGTTGTGCTTTTCCTCTGTGGGATTTCCACCCTGACAGCCTGCAGTTGGGAGAATACCCCAAGAACATTGCCGCTATTTCATTTAGCTGGTGTAAGAGTCTCCTCTGCCTTTTGGAGCTTCATGTGGGGTCAGAACTCTCTGCCATCCCATTCATCCCAAATCAGGGGACACCAATAAAGTGGGAAGGGTGGCAGAGGGAAGGGGGTGTTCTCCTGCCAGTCTGACAGTGGCCTGAAGCCGTCCTTCCTGAATGCTGTGCTGCTTCTCTAGCTCCTGGCCGCAGAGGGGCATGGCTGCAGGGCGCCCTTGCAGGCAGCAGGTTTGTGTGTGGGTGGCGTTGGAGGGAGTCCTTTGTCTAGGCTTATCTACAGGATTCCTTGCGCCAGTAGAAAATCTACCGTGTGCCCAGACCTTCACTTCTAAGATGGCAATAAGAGGAACAGTCCCAGGACAGGCACTGGGGGCTTACAGAGCCTGTGCCAGGCTAATTGACTCTGGCGTGGCCACCGCTTTTTCTTGGCACACTCCTCCTGATGACTGGCACTACTGACCAGCACTCACTGCTCAGCATCTTGCTGCCACCAAGCTTCCCTGAAGGAAGGTCAGAGTTTTGATGGCCAGTCTCTGGCTGAGGCCATGAGATCTGTATCTCTGAGTCTGGCTCCGGGGTGACTTTGTTGCAGGCACGAGGTTGCTCTGCACTCAACCTTCATCCCTTGACTCATTCCTGAGTAGAGATATGACATGCTTGCTCCTCAGAGCAGCAGCCACCGCACATCAAGGGTGACTGGAAATGCAGGTGTGGGAAGTGCCCGTCAGTCCCAATTTTCTTTATTTATTTTGGTACCAGGGATTGGACTCGGGGGCACTTGGCCACTGAGCCACATCCCCTGCCCTATTTTGTATTTTATTTAGAGACAAGGTCTCACTGAGTGGCTCAGTGCCTTGCGCAGTTGCTGAGGCGTTTTTGTTTTTGTTTTTGCTTTTTTAAAGAGAGAGACAGAGAGAGAGAACACCTTTAATATTTTGTTTTTTAGTTTTCGGCGGACACAACATCTTTGTTTGTGTGTGGGGCTGAGGATCGATCCCGGGCTGCACGCATGCCAGGCGAGCGTGCTACCGCTTGAGCCACATCCCCAGCCCCCGAGGCTGGTTTTGAACTTTCGATCCTCCTGCTTCAGTCTCCCAAGCTGCTGGGATTATAGGCATGCGCCACAGTGCCTAACTAGTCCCACTTTTAAAAGTTATTTTTGTGACTTAATTTTTTTAAAATTTAATTTTTACTGTCCTATTGGACTCCATCTCTTCATTATAGCCAGGGATCTCAGTGTAATGAGACATGCAGAGAACTTATGTCTGCTTCTGACTCATTTGTGTCTCATGTATTCCTAGTTGAAACATGCACATTTTTCATACTGGCCATTCTAAACCTTCATGGTGCCTCTCAAAACCCTAACCAAGCTGGGCGTGTGGCGCACACCTGTACTTCCAGAGGCTCAGAAGGCTGAGGCAGGAAAATTGCAAGTTCAAAGCCACCTGAGCAATTTAGTAAGGAACTGAGCAACTTGGTGAGACTTTGTCTCAAAATAAAAAAACAAAAAGGGCTGGGGATGGCTTGGGGGTTAAGCACCCTTGGGTTCAATCCCTGGTACCAAAAAAAAAAATTAATCCCTAACCTAACTCCTGAGATAGCTGGAGGACCTTGGCATTCTGATCCACAGACAGCTGTTTCCAATCCCTGGGTATAAATTCGCCTCCGCCTGTGCCTGCCTTCACCTTTTTTTTCCTTTCTCAGAGGAACAGGTGCCCTCCTCTTAGCATGGTTTAGTTTTCCCCGGATTCTGCGTGTCCTGTCTCTTCTGAGTGGTCCCTTCAATGGCTGTTTCATTTATGTGTTTCCAATCTTCCACACAAAGCAGCGAGGGATTTAGTTTTGTTCTCCCTAAACAATTCTTCCAACCTGAGCTCCTCATGGTGGCCCTAACCCTTTTCTTCACATCTAAGCTTCTAAAAAGAGTGGTTTACACTTCTTGCTGTCTGCTTTTCTGCACTTGCTGTTTGCTACGTAAATGATTCTGAGGCTATCACCCTCCCTCCCTCCACCACAGTTCCACTGAAATTGTTCAGGTTGAAACCACCAAAGTCCCTCACTGTCAAATCTGGTGATGCAGGGACACCTGCTTTTACTTGTTGCCTTTCTCAACAACTCACTTTGGACATTTTTGACCACTCTCCTGTTTTTGAAGCCACACTCCTCTGACTTCTGGGACACTGTCCTCTGCTGGTTTCCTGCCTGTTGGTCTGGCACCTCCTTGTCTTTCCCGGGCTCCTCTCGCTGTGTGAGTGTTGGTGCTCTTCTTCAGGGTTCCTCCTTCAGACCCATCTTCTAATCGTTTCTTGGCAATGGTGTCCACCTTTGTGGTTTCTGCCACCACATCTCTCTTCTCTGGGTCTCTAGACCATTAGAACCCACCACTTACTGACCACACTTACCTCTGTGTCCCACAGGCCTCTCACATGCAGCATGTCCCAAACTGACTTCATCATCTCCCCCACCAAACTGGCTCTCCCAAGAATACTATCCAAAAAAAGGCACAGTCTCTAAACGTGGGACTTCTCTCATCTTCTACTGTCAAGTATCAATTCATGTTGATCGTAGTCTATAGAGCATATTCTCTCCTCTGTACATCTCTCTGTATGTATGTACGTGTGTGTGTGTGTGTGTGTCCCTTCTCCCCCAATTCCCATGGGTTCCTGCATCTGTTCTAGTTGGCATTCATCTGTCTTGCTAGCTCTGTCAAATCGCCTCGCATAGCAGACCTTCCTCTTTCTAGTATTGGGCTTCCTCTCATTAGAAACACCTGTGATGTATCAACTAGAAAAATAATTGCCTATTTCAGTTTCTCTTGCTCCTCTGGATTGAGAGGTTCTTTTTTTTTTTTTTTTAATATTTATTTTTAATTGTAGTTGGACACAATACCTTTATTTTATTTATTTTTATGTGGTGCTGAGGATCGAACCCATAGCCTTGCACATGCAAGGTGAGCACTCTACCACTGAGCCACAACCCCAGCCCCTTGAGAGGTTCTTTTGAGGAAGGATCACATGTTGTTTATCTTTGCATTCCCAATGCATGTCGTAGCGCTGGGCATAGAGTAGGTAGATTAAACCCTTGCTTTGTGAATGGATGTTTCAGGCTCTATGCAGAATATCAGACTGAACATAGTTAATCGATCTTGGATGTTTTGGGGAAGTCACTGCCCTGCTTTAGTTACTTGGGTGCCTAATAGTTACTGTTGTGACAATACATTTGGATATATTGTTGATTAAAAAGTAATGTTGGTTGATTTTGTCTTTTAAAGTAATATGCATTTACTGGAAAAAGTTATCAAATATGGACAAACAATAAGAGGAAAATAAAATCATCCAAAATCCTATTACCCCAAAGTAGATAACTACTGCTAACATGTTGATACAGAGCTTCTCAAATTGTTTTCTAAATGTTTGATTTCAATAAAGGAATAGGCTCACACCTGGGACAAAGTCTCATCTGCTGAGCTGTCCTTTGTGAGAGCAATCAATCGTTAAATCACAGTGCTCAAGGATTCATGGAAACCTGGCCGATGGGTTTCCACATCCTTCCGCACTGATCTGCTTGGAGAGATTTGCAGCATCATTAGTAGTGATGATATCTTCTTAGGTGTCAACCTAGGCTAGTGTCTTAGTTCATACTGCTATAAAAGAATAGCATAGAATTGGTGCCTTGAACAACAGGAATTTGTTTCTCATGTTCTGGAGGCTAGAAATCAAAAATCAAGGTGCTGGTGGATCCAGTGTCTGTAGAGGGCCTGCCCCTTGTTCTGCAGATGGCCGTCTCTGGTTGTATACTTAGAAGACAGAGCAGAAAGAGGAGGCACGCTCTCTTGAGTTTCTTTATAAGGACACTAATCCCGCTCTAAGGGCTCCACTCATGACTGCTCACCTCCTAATACCAGTGGGAGTTGAGGTTTCAACTTAGGGATTTGGGGAGGAAAGATTCAGTCTTTAGCAGGTAGTTACTCCTCTTTGAAACAAGATCCTAGACAGTGGCCTAGCATTTGGAAAGGAGGAGAGGAATTTATGGAAATGGGAATTCACATAAATTAGCAAGCTTTCTGGGCTCCAATCTGGTGGAAAGTCGAGATGCACAGCAGGGATCAGGTACAAGAGAAGGGCACTGGGACAGGAATAGTGTGAAGGCTGTAGCTGTATGGACACGAGGGAGCCCATAGGATCCCGCAAGGGTACTGCAACCAGAGCTCAGAGTGGCTGCTGGGGATGTAGCTCCTAATGTGCTGTCAAGATGGCTAAATTTGGTTGAGAATCCAGGAAGATTGGAGCTTTCAGGTTGAAAGACTTAGTAAGTTGTAGATATAGGGGGCTGGGGAAGGCAGGGACTGATAAATCCCAAACTTTTGGAGTGGCGAGATCCCATCACAGTCTACTTCATTCTGCGACCCATATAACTGTTGTATGCCATATGTCTTTGTAACATAATTAAAGCTAATTAAAATTAATTTTGGTTGTTGAGTGTTTGAAGAGTTTCATAATAACTCTTGAGATAATTAGAGATGCTTTGGGATGTCACAAAAGGAGCATTTGGAATAAGTGGGCTAGATGTTTAAACCAGAAATGTTCAGTAAAGGGTAGCAACAGAGGATAATTCTGTAACTGAAGGATGCTGAATTAGGTACTAAGAGTTTGGGGATGAACTCAGTATACTGGTAAACTGGCTCTCTGAAAAACAAACAGCCTTGCTTTGTGGAATTTGCCAATTTCCATAATGTGAATATTCCCAACACGGTAGATTTTATATTACCCTTGGTTTAACAACTAGCTCATACAATTCCTGAGTATTTCTTTTTTCTTTGTTTGGTAGTTATATATGGACAGAATGCCTTTAGTTTATTTATTTATTTTTTTTATGTAGTGCTAAGGATCGAACCCAGTGCCTCACATGTGCCAGGCAAATGCTCTGCCACTGAGCTATAACCCCAGCCCAATTCCTGAGTATTTCATAATCAGCTTTTGTAAGCTCTGTGCAAGACAGCTGGGACATACCCCGAGAATCCATACCGCATTTCTACTTAGCTTTGTGATCTTGGGTAAATCACTTCAATTCTGTGGATCTTGGTTTTATCATCAAAAAAGTGAAGTTATTAAAAATAATCCCTGAGGTCCTTTCTGAAGTTCATATCCCAGTAATGCAGCTGGTGTTATAGGGCCAGTATGACACCATGTTATAAGCCAAAAGAGTTGCATCAGAATTTTATGACTGTCACTGAGATATTAATGCACACATGATTTGATAAAGTGGTCATAATCATACTGTGTCATAATCAACCATGTTCTGATTCCTGCTGTCAATGCTTTGTGTCTTTTGTAGTACCTCTTCCCAGAGGGATTAAGAACAGCTGTGTAGCCATTGGGGAACCAAACTTCATGGCCCAGCAGCGAGGTAAGAAACCCTTACCCACAGTTGCTGGGTCCTAGGATACCAGCAGGTTGAGGGAAGATCCTAAGGCTTAGATACCTCACTTCTCTGACAGTGAGACCCAATAGTGGTGGTTTTTCCTAGACAAGTAACTATGTGAGAGGCTAATTTTCCTCCATGCTTTTTGAAGGCAAGGACAGCGTCTTTCATATTTATGTGTGTCAAATTCTGGAAGCCAGTTAAGAGTTTGTTGAATAAACAAATGGGCTTTTATAGAGCAAATTGTGATTTTAAAAATATGCATTCAAAAGTAGACATGAGTTCATGTTTACCTTAATGCTGAAGAGTTGTATTTTTTCCAACGTGAGGAGTTATTTTCTTGTTATAATGGGAAACTTCTCAATGCTTTCAGTTCAGTTCGGGGTCTTGAAAATTGCCTTCCAGTGCTGGGCTATACAACCAGAACCAAATGGAGAGAAACATGAATGAGAAAAACACATACCAGGCAATCCAGGTATTTACTCCCCACCTATGAGTACCCCCACCCAATCTCAACCAGTAAAATTAGCTCATCTCTTTAAAAAAATACTCATATTTAGAAAATAGTTATTGGTATATCATATGCTTCATCACTATCATTTAATCCTCATGATAGCCCTCATATGATAAATATTGTGGCTCCTGTTTTAGAGAAAAAAAACTGAGACTCAGAGAGGTTGAGTAAGCCAATGGCAGAGGCACAGTCCACACCCCAGAGGTGGTGCTCTCTGGCACAGCCAGGCTGCCCCAGGGCTCTCTGGGTTTCTGCTTCCTGGTGTCTCTCTTTGAGTTTGCTGTAGGGGTTTCGGTGCCCTCTCATGTGAGTGAACCTGGCTCAGTCCATAGCCAGGCAAACAGAAGCACCAGTCTCTGGCAAGATTCTGAACAAATATCAGGACCCTCCCGGCCAAGGTGGCTGGGCTGTACTTTGCCCCCATGAATCAGCTCCCTGGAGGCCGGGCAGTTGCAAAGGTGACTAACTAGCTATAGATTCGAGGGCCAGGTAAGTCTGGTGGATGTGGCACCTGGACTTTGACAAGCTCCAGGAGCAGAGGAGGCCCATCTGGGCAGGTCCCGGAGCGGTGCGGCTGAGCAGGTGTGTGGGAACCAGCCCCCTTCTTCCCCTCTGGTTGTGCTTGCTGGGATGTCAGCTTAGGGAGGGCACCATGGCTCGGAGGGGGTCTAGGGAGGGTCATTTATATGAATGTGAGAGAGTGTGATTTGTCATCACAGGTGGAATTCCCTCACTTTGAGAATCTTAGGCATTTGAATTTGATATCCTTGATTACAACCCCTCTCTGACTTACCGGAGCTGGTGTCTCTTGGCAACAAGATGATGTGATGTCAGAGAAGAGATTGGGAACTGTGCCTTTGCAGTTTGGGGACAGGCTGCCTGGTGAAAACATCTGGGGACAAGGTGAAAGCAGCTTTCTTCTTGTCCCACTTACTTGTGTCCCGACGGTGATGATCCATGCCTCTGGCCTCTTCTGGGATCTGCTGGCCAAGGCTCTCGTGGCACTTGGCTGTTTCAAGGAAATGAGCTGACATGGAGAGGAAGACAGGTTCCCTGAGCTGTGACTGACCTTGAGGTGGCATGTACCCCTGGGCCCTGTGCTTCTTGTACATTCTGTTATCTCACAGCTCTTGGCTCATAGCTCTGGACCCTGGCTCGGTGGTGTTCCAGCAGAGTGACATCTTGGTTTCGACATGGACTCTTTTGACCTTTTGTTCTGACATGAATTTTCAGATGAGACTGGGAGCTTCAGCAGTGAGAGAAAGTGAACAGATGTGATCAGACTCTTGCAACCTAAGACAGGTCCCATGGGACGAGCCAGGTGGGAACTACCTGGCTTGTGTATGCTGGTGACCCAGGAGGCTCCCTGAGCAGGAGTGAGGGCTGAGCGCATGCTCCTCTGTGATAGGGGCAGAAGAATTTGGAAGGTCATCATCCCCTGGAGCTGCATCCCATTTTTGAGGATATAAGGGGGAAAAGTGAGTTTGATTCAAAGGAGTCTTCTAGTTTCTAAAAGTCTCTAGCTAGGAAGACTCTGAGACCTGAGAAGAATGGTTGTAATATAAGAACACGAATGGCCATAGTATAAGGTCTCATTCTTCTACAGGGTTAATTCAGGATTCAGAAAAGGAGTCTCTTGGAGAGGTCACTTTAAATTTCTTTTTGTTTAGAAAATCGTTTTGGTTAATCAGATGACCCTTTTCTCTACCTCTGGCAACACTGCTCTTTATCAGTCATGATCTGCCAGGCAGTGTGTTGGGTGATTTCCAGGCCCTATCAGTGTTTCTAACAGGAACCCCCCCTCTGCAGACTGGTTACTATGTTCTCCATTTTATGGGTAGGAAATTGAGGCTTAAAAAAAACTAACCAGCTAGTAGGTGGCAGTCCGTATTTGAACTTGGATCTTGCTCCCTTCAGGGCTGACTCGTTTCTATGATGCCTCAGCAGGTCCATCCTGAGTGTTGTATAAATATTTGCTGATGGGATAAATGAAGAAACACTAATTGGGATTCCTTGATAGCATTCCTAGTTGCATCTATTACTGTTATCTGTCTCTCTTGCCTCCCACATCTGCCGTTCCATATGTACTTTTTAATTTTGTAAGCAATATCAATATAATTGTCTAGCCTGTTATTTATTTGTGTATCTGCTTGAGATTTTTTTTTCTTCAGATCTCTCTATATCCGTGCCCATATGGTTTGTTTCAGGCAAGGTTTGAGGACTCTAGTTGCTCTTTTCATAAAACCTAATCAACCACCATGTTTAGATATAGGCTTAAGACAAATATTTTTCCCCCTTTTTGTTTAGTGTGCAGGGAAATAAAACAACTGTACAGCTGACTCAAACCCAAGAGAAATCCAGAGGGTCAGGGATGGAACCTTGGGTTCCCCTGCGGCCATCTCAGCCTCGGGGGAGGCCCATGGCACCTCCAAAGGACCCCGGCCGAGGGCTTCAAAGTGGACCTCATCGGCCTGTTCCTCACCGTCGGCACAATGGAGAGGGGTTCCACCGATGGCAAGACATCCGTGGGAGCCCACAGCCACTGCAGGACCCCCGGGCAGACCACCTGCAGCCCCCTCATGCACCCAGGTCTGGGGTGGACTACTATGACGGGGCCTATCCCAGCCAGGGGTACTCCAGGTATGGCTTCAGGGTTTGGAATGGACCCAACTTTCCTACATGTGGATGAACAGTTTGTTCTTTTCCTTCTTCCTTTCTCTTTTATTTCTCTCTCTCTTTTTCTTTTCCCACGTACTATATTGCCTTAGCTAAAACCTGTCCTCTTTCAAGCTGTTCTTGGGTGAGGGAGGATAGTATTTCCCTCCTCTCTGTCCCCAAGTGGAACTTTTTAAACAAAACAGCTATCACAGTGCCATCAGAGGAGGGGTACAGGTGGGAATTCAAGGCAGCAGATGGGACTGTCTTGCTCTGGGATCCCAGAAAGCAACATGGAGACTCTGGAAAAGCTTTTCTTAGGACCCATAGGAAGGGGCTTCACAGTCTTTGGACAGTTCTAACCTGGGGTTAGTCTGATATCTCCAGCCCCAAGAAGAGTCCTAGTGCTGAGAACACGGCTGGAGTGTGACTGGCACACAAAAGCAGTGGAGAATGAACGAGAGCTGTGGGAAAAATCAGCTTCTTAGAAAAGCCAGATCTGGACTTTCCAGCCCTAAGTTCAGGAGGAAGAGGCTGCGGAGAGGTGATCCTAGGATGGAGAGTCTGGAACTCCTGCTCCCTCCAGTTCTAATTGATGACATTGTACCAAATATTTCATGGAATGTTGGAAGCCATCAATGTTCTGGAATATTCTACTTTGCCTTTTCCAGTTAGGATATTTATTCACCTTAATAGGTTGAAATTCGGGTTGAAATTATGACAACTATTGTAAATACTGAAGCATTATTAACTGATAAATTAATTGATATGATGTTTCTTTTCCCTGTCTTTTTGGGTTATTGGATTCCCAAAGGGGAGGTATGTTAATCAGATTTAAGATTATTTTAAAATATCATTTCTATCTGAAATATGCATAGAAATTACAATACTAGGTTCTTTTCTTTACATCTTTTTAAAATACCTGTATTCTATTTATGCATTTGTATGTGGGGCTGAGGGTGGAACCCAGGGCCTCCTCACACGTGCTAGGCGAGCGCTCTACTGCTGAGCCACAGCTCTGACCCCCAACCGTAGGTTCTTATTATCTTATTCTAAGATCGTATCAGAGAAGAATTTTTTAAGATAACAGCTACAGAATGGTTGTATTTGGGGAGTAAGAGTTCTACCATAAAAATTAAAGAGTTCTAAATAAAAATAGTTAAAGATTTTTAAATAAAAAAAAATAGTTTTCTATCTTACTACAAAAATCCCAACCTTGCCTGGCCCTTCTCCTGCTCTGATTCTGGATTTGTTTAGAGGGCCCAGAATGAACTGTAGCTTTCAGGCAGATTCTGGATTGGGGTGGCCGCTCTGTCCTCTGAAGTCATTTAGTTTGCCTAGTCCTTCGTGGGTTTCTCTACTGCATGCATCCTCAGGTGACTGGACTTCCTTGTGATGTTTTAGGCCAGGCTTCGAGGATCCCTATCACAGATATCACTCTCCAACTATGAGGGAAGAATATGCCTATGGGAGTTATTACTACCGTGGCCACCCGCAGCAGCTTCAGGAAGAAAGAGGTATGGAGTACTCTCTCTCCACAAGCCTTTGGGGACTGGGGGTGGTGCAGGTGGCCTGACAGGCAGGACGGAAGCCATTGGTACCATGTTCAGAGCCTCACCTTGGGCAGGTGAGACCACAACAGAGACCCTGTCCCTGATCTCCTGAGCAGAAGAGAGCAGGGAACTTCTCTTTTCAAGTGACGATGGCATTGAAACTGTCTCTGTGTTACTTATACGGAGGATAGTTTTTATTTCATCTACATTTTTTCCTCCTACTCCTTCTTATAGCCAAGGTTATGATTACTGATCAAGTAAAAGTGAAGTCAGTTCTTAAGGACATTTGGTGTGTGCTGGGCTGGGCTATAATGAGTCTGACCATTGCTTCACCCTGAGGGTGGTGGACATGTACCCATGGGGGTTTTATACCCTATACTCACAGGTATAGGGTGGGTGCCAATGGCAGCTTCTGACCCCCTCACCAAACGCAATCTGTTTCAACGTTGAAAACACACACACATGTGCATGTGTGCAGCCATGCTAACTGGCTCAGAGAGGTATCTTGGGGCTTTTTTTTTTTAATTTGAAATTTAACTCAACTTGGCCAGAAAAAAAATTTTTTTGGTGATGTTTGAAACCAAACCCATGGTGTTGTTCATGCTAGGCAAGTGCTCTACCACTGAGCTACGTCCCCAGAACTGATCCATTTTTATGCCTACTGTGCCCTAGTACCTCAGCTGGACAGCTCCATAGCATCTTTCTGAAGAGAACTTCCAGAAATAGCCAGTGACCTGTCTTCATTCTCTTTTCTCTGAGGGAGCAGTGCCAAGGCAAGGGACTCCTTATATCTGGCATGAAGACTACGGAGATCAGAAGTACCTCGGTGGGGATCGCCATCGGGAAAACCAGAACAGTTCATTTGGGATGAACAGTGAGACCCAGTTTCAGTAAGTGTGATGGGAGAGGCCACCCCACAGGACTGGGTCACACTCAGTCTGCATTAGATCCATCTTTTTCTTTTCTTTTTGAGAATATCATAGAGTACATTTTATTTTTATTTATTTAGTTATTTTTATTAGAGCGTTATAAATTATATGTAGAATTTTGGTGTCAATCTTATGGCATCTGGTTCTGGTGGTTGTCCTCTACCTCTGGAAGCCCTGGGAAGAAGAGACTCTTTTTTTTGGGGGGCGGGGTACTGGGGATTGAACCCAGGGCACTTGACCCTTGAGCCACAATCCTGGCACATTTTTATTTTTTATTTTGACACAGGGTCTCACTAAGTTGCTTAGGGCCTTGCTAAATTGCTGAGGCTGGCTTTGAACTTGTGATTCTCCTGCTTGGCCTCCCGAGTCACTGGGATTAGAGGCATGTGCCATCATGCCCAGCAGAAGTTCTGATGATTGGGTCCTGCCTGGGGTGCAGAGCTGCTCCTCTGCCCACTCCTGGGCCTTGAGAGTGGGATACTCCTCTGGCATGAGGCAGAGCAGGAAAGAGACTTTAACCCAGGCCTCTGTCCTGGTCCCCTTAGCCCTGGAATTCAGCAACCCAAGTGCTCTGCTCCAGGCCTTCCAGGACCGCAGGCTGGAGGCCAACCCTCCTCTGTTGGGTCCGAGGCCACTTCCTGCCGCTGTGCGTGGAACCCGAGCATTCCGGTTTTCCTGGTATTAGTGCACTTGAGGTGGGGCACGGGAGGAAAGTGCTTTTCTCTGTGACACCCAAGCTGACCTGCCACTGCCACACGTAGATTCAGGACACCCCCAGAAGAGGCCACTCGGCCTGTCCGGCCTGTCCAGGACCCATCTCAGCCCTGCTGTCATTTCACTGCAGATCTATCAGCCGGAGCCCTTATAAAGACAGTCCTGCTTCCAGCTCCGGACAGGAGCGGCCTGGGGAGCTCTTTTCGGAGAGTCGGTTAACTGGTGTCTGCAAGAATAAGGTAACTCGAAGTGACGTGGGGCTGGAGGCCCATGGCCATGCATCACAGATGACCCTGTCAGCAGTGGCAGGCCGAGCCCTCAGGGGTGGGGGCTCCAACAGCCAGACACGTGCAGGGGCCTGTTCCTCTCCCCATGGCAGGGCCCTACTCACGCCACCTCCTCTGCCTGCCTTCCTGCTTCAGTCTAACGCGTCGGAGACCCTGATCTGGCCCCTTTGTATTTTTGTCACACTGGAAGCATCCAAGTCACTCTGAGGTGCTGGGAAGGAAAGAGGCTGACACTTGGTGTACAGTATTGGACACCTCAGGGCACTAGCAATTTGGTTTACCCAAGAAATGGGAAGTTGCTAGAATCTTTTAACTCACATTTGAAAAGCGGGGCTTGAGATCTTTCCTGACACTTTCATCTCTTTCCTGTAAAATCTTAAAAGCGTACTTCCTGGGCCACAAAATGGAGCTCTTAATTTTTTTTTAATAACCCTTTTTATTTTGGAATAATTTTAGATTTGTGGAAAAGTTGCAAAGATACTATAGAGATGAGCTCTTACGTTTTGATGGTCTTGTATTAATTTTGTCTTCCTGACTAACTTTGTGTAAGTCCTGAGAATAGTTTCTCTGCATACTTAGTGCTTAACAGGGCAGGGTATATGTTTTTGTGACTAACCCTACCACAGTAACTGCAGCCACTCACATGTATATAGCACACGACAGCATACAAAGAGCTTCTGAATCCATTATTTCACTCATATTTGCCCAGAATGTAGTTCCATGAATTTCTTGTACTCCTGTATCCTCTTGTACCTAGAGCATAGTAGGAGTTCATTAAACAGCAGGTAAATAAATATGTGGGTAAGTAGCTGAAGTATACAAGGCAGATACATTTATCTCTATCACAGATGAGGCTATTGATCTTAGAGGGCCAAAGTCACTTGTCTGAGGTCACAGCAGCAGGGCACTAGAATCAAAACTGAGGCTTGACTTCAGGGTCTCCCTGACCCCAGGGCCATAATGCACCCTTTAGCAAATACCTGTTGATGGTATGCTCCCTTTTCCTTTCAACATATCCGCGTTCTCTGTATTTCTGGGAAAGTCTGAATTTTGCTTCTTTGAAGGAATACTCGGGAAGCCCAGCTCCCTGAAACTCCTTCCCACGTGTCTCCTGGTTCTTGACTTTCAGCCATCACTGACCAGCAAGTCCAACCTTGTCCAGCAGCACGAGTCTGGTCTCAGCTCCAGCAGCTATGAGCTCAGTCAGTACATGGCGGATGCCCCTGAGCAGTATGATCCTAGGGCGTCAGCAGTTTGGAGTCCAGGTCAGGCAGGTGGGTACTCGAGGGAGCACTGTTGGAAAGGTGGGTGCGAGCCTCTTGAAAAGCCACACCTAGCCTGTGTTTCCAGAAATGAATCCTTGTCTGCTGCATGGGCTTCTCTTCCCACCTTTTCTATTGAAATGGAAATTGCATCCTGGCTGGCCCTTAGAAGGGAACACTGCTCCTAGCCGTGGGTAGACTGGGCCAGAAGGCACTCAGGAATGCTTTCAAGTAATAGATGAAGAAGTGAAGAACAGAAGAGAGCTCATGTAAATAAATAAATAAATAAAAATAAAAATAAATACACAAGATTTTTAAATGTAAAAACATTTAAAAATAAAACGTATATATGCAATGTTTACAGGCTATTATGAAGATGTTTCTTAAAAATACATTCAGGAAAACCAAGATTCAATCAGTTTTCTCAAGTTTAAAAATGATTAGAATAGAAATAGAAATAGAAATTTTAATGAAATAAATCAAAAGAGTAATCAAATGCCTATTAATCAGTTATGTTTTAAGTTTTTTAATAATCTCTACATGAGTGTACATTAGATAAAAGTCTGCAGATTATTAATATAAAATTGCAGTATTCTAATCTGTCTGTTTTATGAAGTAATAAAGAGGTAATTTTCTACAGGGAAAAAAAAAAGAGTGAAGAACAGAGAGAACGGGGTAAAGCAAAAGCAGGACACAAGGCATAACTGCTTTGTTGATTGTAGGAGTCTTGCCCTGGGCATAGAAGCCACAGGCTCCTGGCCTCTCACCATGGCTGAGAATCTGGGTTGGGTTGCACTATCATTTGGACCAAATTAACACATTCTTACATTCTATTCTGACATATTCTCAGAGGCTTAACTTGGACTGGTGCAGGGAATATGGGCTTCTTCCAATTACGTAGCCCACCCAGAATCTGAGCTTGGTCCCAGGTGAAATTTGGACAGAATATGTCTGTGGCATATTTCTAAATTAAAGAAAAGCTGCGAAAGAAGTGCTAACAGGGTCCATCTGTGTTCTCTTGGTCAGGGGATGTCTCAGCAGCAGGTCCCCACACACCCATGAAGTTCTACGTCCCTCATGTGTCTGTGAGTTTTGGTCCAGGAGGTCAGCTGGTGTGTGTGTGTCCCAGCTCTCCCCCTGATGGGCAGACGGCCCTGGTGGAGCTACACAGCATGGAGGTAAGCAGGATCCCGTGACTCTGGTATGCTGGCACACTGCACCCCCAAACTGCTCTCCGCGTACTTGCCCTCTTCCCTTTGCCTGAGCCTGGGCATCTCCAAGGCGGGTACGCTTGTGGGGAACTGGGCCCTGTGGCCCCTGGAACAGGAGGCACAGGAATGGCTGGGCTCTTCTCTGGAAGAAGCGATGCTAGACTTATGTTTCCCCTTAGGTGCTAGTGGCTCATCTTAACAAGAAGAACACGCTTATTCTTCTGTTTCCTCCCCAAGGCCCTAAGCCACCTCCATGGACCACAACCCTGGGGTCTGACACTAAACTTGACCAATGGGGGCACTTGGTGGAAGTCTCGAAGACCAAATTTGACTTTCTATTCCAGGTTATTCTTAGTGATTCTGAAGACCAAGAGGAAATGAGAAGTTTCTCAGGACCCCTGATCCGGTAAATTACTTTAAGAGACCGAGTAAGGACTTTTGCATTTTGGGGCTTTGTTTTGGTGTCCTTGGAAGAAAATGTCTCTCTATGCTACTAGATACAACCATATGTGACCTGTGTCATTTTGATAAGCCACTGGATAGCTGAAGGACAGACAGAAAAAATAGCTTCACAATGTAACAATCAGTTCCATTTTGTAGATGTTCTGTGGTAGGATGTTTTAGCATTCTGTATACTTTATAGATGTTAGTAGAAAAGTGGAGCACTGGGAAGTCACCCTCAAGTGGATCGCAAGGGAAAAACTACCCAAAGTGACTTCTCAGAGAATGTTGTCAGGGTTCTAGTTACTGGACAGTGTGCAGGTCTGCCCTCTGCAGACCTAAATTGGAACTGCCTTAAAGTCGCCAGTCACGTTGCTGATAAATATTCAGGGTACATTTGTTGTGCAGAAAGACCTGGCTGGGTGTCAGAGGACCTGGGTTCAGGCATCCTACTAAGTAAGGGTACCATGGTGGGCAGGCCAATTAACCCTCTCTGCGTATTACTTTTTCCTCTGAGAAATGATGTTATACTCACTCTGCCAATTCAGGTGGTGACTGAGAGACTCAAGGGAGATTATGCAGTATAAGCCCTTTAAATAGCATTGCTACTATTCAAATGTATTCTTGTCCTGAAGCCACCCTGCCCAAGAAAATCCCCTTATTATACCTGACAGCTCCTTCAAGTGAAATGAGTGCTGTCTCTATGTCTTACACACAGGTCTACAGATGAGAGTCGAGAACTGAGTTGGCTATTAAACTCTAGGTATCAGTCTCAACTTGCCTTCAATTTGTTGGATAATATGGAGCAAATAATAATGCCCGTTCATTGAGAACTTAGTATAAGCCACAGAATCTGCTTTTTTTCTTTTTGTATGCATGCATTTACTTTTATTATCCTTATTTTAGGGAGGGGGGAAAACAGGTTTAGAAGAGATCAGAAACTTGTCTAAACTGAGAGCGACAGACCAGATTTAGACTCAGAATTGTCTGACTTGAAAGTTTGCGCTCTTAGCTGGTATTTTGTCACTTCATCGAGGCCTCTGGGCCTCAGTTTCCTCATCTGTAAAATGGAAAGGGGGGGTGTAAAATAGAGTCTCTGAAGTCCCTTCCTGTTCTACAAGGAAATGACCATCCTGTGGCTACAGACTTATTACCCCACCCTGGGTTGTCAGTCTTCTATCCCAACCTCACCTTGCTGGTGCCCGCATACTACAGGCAGAGCAAGGATCCTGAGTGCGGGAGAAGTCTGCCTGCTCACTCTTTGTTTTCTGAAATCTCTCACAGGGAAGATGTTCACAAGGTCGATATCATGACATTTTGCCAGCAGAAAGCAGCTCAGAGGCTCAAGTCTGAGACCCCAGGAAGCAGAGACTCAGCTCTACTGTGGCAACTGTTAGTTCTCTTCTGTCGCCAGAATGGGGTAAGTCATGGCTTGGATGCTCGGGCAGGTGCAGGCCGGGGTGGAGTTTCAGGCCGTGGGAGAGATGAGGTCTGCGGTATGGTGTGATTATGAGAAGTAACGCGTCACCTCTGGGAAACACTGCTCATGTGTCAACACCAGGTTGCTAATGCAGACTTTCCCTCCGATGCTCTCCTGCCCTGGACGGGACACGCAGTGCTCTTGTGGGGTTACTGCACCAGCCCGATTAAACACCTGTGAAATTAGGCTCCAGTAAGCTTCATGGCTCCTGACAGCCAGAAAATATCCACGATAATGAAGTTGACGTTTGAAATCCAGTAATCCGAGGAGGGACTGCCCGTGTGTGCATGAGTGATGGTGAAGTACCTTGTGCAGAGGGCAGGTGCCTGGAGCCTGCCTTCTGCAGCTTGGGCTGCCTGCTTGAGGATCAAGGGCCTTCTCCCCCAGGATGACCCTCTTTGCCTTGCAGTCCATGGTGGGGTCTGACATAGCTGAGCTGCTGATGCAAAACTGTAAGCTGGAGAAGTACAAGAAGCAGCCCCCCGTGGCCAACCTCATCAACCTGACCGACGAGGCCTGGCCCGTGAACTCCGGGACCCGAAACCTGCTCACCGGGGAGGTCTCTCCCACGGTGGAGACACCTGCGCAGATCATGGAGAAATTCACCAAGCTGCTGTACTATGGGAGGAAGAAGGCAAGTCTGTCCTTCTCCCCGGCGTCCTGTAGAAGGGTGACCACTGTCCCCGCCTCCAACACCCTGCCTCCAATTACATGAATGGCATACACTGATTTTAGAGCCAGTGAGAAGTTCAGAAAGGCAGGGCAAAGAAAATAAAAACACCAATATAGGTTCTAACCATTAACACTTACGATGGGAGTGTAGTCTTGTTATTAAAGATAATACCTGTTAGCATCTAGATACATTTACTTCCAGCATTTTCCCATGTGTATATTAAAATGAAATCAAATTACTTATACAGTTGTTTCTCTTTTTCCATTTAAGATCACATGGTGAAAGACCACATGGCATTAAACTGACAGCACCATTTTATTTATTTTTGTGGTGCTGGAGACTAAGCTCAGGGGCTCAGGCAAGTTTTCTACCACTTGCCAATAGCACTATGAAATAAAGTCTTACTTTGTTTAATCACTCAACTATTTTTTGAATATAGTTGGCTATTTACAATTGTGTCATCTTATAAAGTATGCCATTTGAACATTTATGACATGTCACTGCTGATCCTTGGTTTATTTTTTAGGACAGATTCCTAGAAGTGGGATTACTGGGATTCAAGAGTATGTCCTTCCAGGGGGTTCTTCATATACACACCAAATTAGTTTTAGAACCGTCATTTACAAGTAACACTTCTGCCTACCAATATTGAATCTGTAATTTAGCAAATGGAGGGAGATGTCTTGTCTAATTTTGAAACTCTGTTCTTTATAAAAGTCATAAGTTCAAATGTTTGAATCTGTGATGAAAATCAATTTAGTGAAATAAAACAATAAGGAATGTAAGGGAGGAATGATGCCCCTCCCCCCTCCAATCACTCAATTTCTCCCCTGAAACATCCAAACTTATTTTTTGCATATATAATTATTCCCCCCCCCCCTTTTTTTTTTTTCTTATAGCATACTGTGGGTCAGGCCTGTACTTTCCTTTCTAAATATTTAGAAAACAAACTTTGGAGTTGGTAAACCTTTTCCATAAAGGGATAGGCAGTATATATTTTTGGCTTTGTCTGCCCTCAGGTCTTGCTGCAGTATTCAGTTTAGCCCTTGGAGCATGAAAACAGCCGCAGACAATGCATAAATGAACGAGTGGCTGCATTTCAAACTTTATTTATGGACATAGCAATTTGAATCATATATAATTTTCATGTGTAGTGAAATATTATTTTTGTTTTGATTTTTTTCAAATAATTAAACAAGATAAAAACTCTTTGAACTTGTAGGCTGTGCACTGGGCCATGCCGAACACGCAGTGCACTGGATTTGGCCTTTGGTGTATTTGCTACCTCTTACCCCTTTATCATGCTCTCTTTCTCATAGCACATATATCACCTTCTAGATTATAACTGCCTCATTATTTTTTAGGGCTGCATAGTTTTCTATGGATTTTACAATTAATTCAGCTAAGCTCCTATAGATTGACATTAAGATTGTTTCTTTTACTATTACAAACAATGCTAAAATGAATTGTTATTTTGCCTAATGTGAGAAAATACATGTAAGATAAATTTCCAGAAGTGGAAGCCTTGGGTCAAAGGGTAAATGGTTTATAATTTTGATAGGTATTGAAAAATCTCATTAGAGCTGTGAATCAGTTCACCCCCTCAGCAATGTATGAGAGTATGTGCTCCCCACATTCCCCCCATGTCACCAGCCAAAAGTGTTTGCAGATTTTTGATATGTGCCAATCAGAGAGGTGAAGAAATACCATTTACTATTAATTTGCATTTCTGTTATTAGGAATGAAGTTGATTATCTTTTAATCTGTGCATTTTCTGGTCAAGGGTTTTCCACATCTTTCAGTCTTTTATCACCACAAGTTGATGTGTTGGAGTTCTTCCTTGTTTTTGGACTGTGTGTCCCAAATCACTTTTGAGGGATCGTATTTCAGAAGCCTTCTCCTATTTCAAAATCAATTCCTAAAAATGAGGTTGGAGTACTTTGGTAACTTCATTTTCACATTTAAATATTTAACCTCTTGGGATTTTGGTGTATGAGGTTATAAGTGAGTGCTTGACAATGATGCCCAGTAAAAATCGGTGGGATCAAGTCGCAGCCATTCCCTGTCTATTCCCTATAGAGTAGGGAGTCAGAGTTTCCCCAATGATTCATTTATTCAATAAGCATTTATTAGCGGCTACTACTTCTAAGGCGTTGAACCCAGTGAGGCATACAGAGATAAATGAAATATGAACTGTTCCTTTAAGAAAGATAAGCAGCGAGCATAGCAACTATAATAACAAAAGCAGATTTAAAAAATATTTTCTACCTTCCAGGCACTTGCTTAACATCCTACATGCATTGTCTTCTTTATTGCCATGGAAACACTACATTAGCTTCCCTCCTTGCTTTATGTATTTTTGGATCAGAAATGTCAGTGAGTGGTGGAGTGAGGGCTGAGCTCTAGGCAGCGGGGGCCTGAACCTGGGCTTCTAACCTCCCTCACACCTGGACCTGAGAGGAAGCGAGGGAGAGATGCGGTACCCATGGAGTGTGACTGATGGATGAGGTGCTGGGAGGGAGAACATCTTTAGAACCTTTGTTCACATTTGCCTGGGTCTTATTTCTGGCATTGGGTGAGACTTGTGTCCTTGACATAAGTTCTCAGTTTCTTCACTAGTTCTTTTTTTTGGGTACTGGGGATTGAATCCAGGGACAATTAACCACTCAACCTCATCCTCAGCCCTTTTTATATTTTATTTAGAGACAGGGTCTTGATGAGTTGCTTAGGGCCTCTTTAAGTTGCTGAGGCTGGCTTTGAACTCGTGATCCTCCTGCCTTAGCCTCCGGAGCTGCTGGGATTACAGGTATGCACCACCATGCCTGGCTTTTCACTTGTTCTTAAATTATATTTTTGGACGGGCAGATTTTTGAATCATCTGTAATTCCCAGTCAAGCATTAGTAACTCCTTTCCTTACAAAAAAAAAAAAAAAGGTTACAAAATTATCAATATATACACAGACAGTGACCTTTAATGTCATTTTTCACTTGCCCTGGATGAGAGGCTGGTTTCCCTAATTGTGGCTATTTAAATTTGCTATCCTTTCCCCCCAAGAAGATATCATGGAGGAATGTTGAGCCCATTAAAGAACTTGTTACTTGGAGATAGAATTACCTCATTAGTGAATTCCTGTCCCCAAACCACATCTTGTGGCAGTAGGAAGTTACTAATACCAGTTCAAAACCTCCTGTATGAGGTAGTTCCTTACTAAATATTTCTGGAAAACTGAATGTAAAGGTTAGTAGACATGTGTCTGTGTATTATTTTGGCCGAAGAAGTTATTTGACAGTTAACAAGCAATTGCTTTTAGCATTAGATGCTAGGTTAACTTCTATGTTTACTGGCTTAAACTTACAGCAGCTTATTCTGGTTCATTGAGAGCCCTGGACAGGTAGATGGACCAGTGGGGCAGCCCCTCTCCCTGTAGTTGGACTCAGGATGCAGGAAGCTCTTCCCTCCTCAACCAGGGAGTCCTCTGCATTCCAGCAGCCAGATGGGGTGGAGGATCGGGTGTGGGTGGTTTTATGGTCCAAAACACTTCCATTTCCTTTACATGGTGTAGACTCAGCCGCTACCGGGCCCCAGAGAGGTGGGAAATATAGTCCAGCTCTTCACCGAGGAAGGAGAACATGGATCTTGAGCTGTTGAAAAGGGCACTGTTCTTCAACAGACTCGAACATGAATACTGTTATGCTATTTGCATTTTGAGACTTTGTTTTTGGGTGACAAAGTAACATCTATGTAACATCTTTGTTACATAGATTCTTACAAGTATTTTGTAACTTGCTAATAAGATATGGCTACCTGGTGACCATGTTTGAAGGAAGTCAAGGAAATGGCATAATGGGTGGCTGGGGAAGTGGACAATCTAGAGAAAACACCAAGCTGATTAGAGGCCCCCTCCCCTCCCTCCCCGCTTCCTTCTTCACATTTATAATGAGGCCCAAGAGTCTCTGGAGGCCCAGCCTCTACTGTTCAGGGTGCAGCAGTGCCCACCGTGGGAATGTGTTATTTCTGTGGCCGAGGCACTGCTGAATGTGACGTTTTGGTTTTCAGGAGGCCTTGGAGTGGGCCATGAAGAACCATTTGTGGGGTCATGCTTTGTTCCTCTCCAGCAAGATGGACCCACGGACCTACAACTGGGTCATGAGTGGGTGAGTCCAGCTGACAAAGGAGGCCAATGGCACAGAGAGGCCTCCCCTTCAGGGCTGGGTGGGGATGGGGGTGGGGAGAAGTGCCAAAGGCACTGGGAAGGACCATGCTCCAAGCAGCTTCCAGTTTTTCTTTGTCGGAGCACGTCTTTTCTCCAGAATCTTAGAACCCAGACACAGAGACACTCTTTCTATCTGTTGAGTGGAATGAAACATTTTAGTAATATTTTTGAGTTTCCAAAAATTAAGTAGTTTCTACATTGCTGTAGTCTTCTCTGAGAGGGGCTATTCTAGATAGTTCCATTAGGGAGGGAACAGATATGACTTAAGCTTAATTGAGAAAACCATAGGACCAAGGGTTTTGATGCAGGTAAGTGTTGAGAGGGGACGTGGGTGTCCAGAGGTAGGCTAGGTATTAGGGCAGCAGGACCATGATACCAGGGAAAGATCCCATGGGACTGCGAGTCAGATCCACAAGTCGACATCTGCAGCAGTGGTGCTGTCGAGACTGCGGAGGTGCTTAGTCAGAAGGCACACCAGCAACGGAGACCCACCCAGGGGCCAGGGGCACCAGGAAGGACAACCACACCAGAATGGGAGAGGGATTGAGGGAAAGGTGCACTGCCAGCCTTCTGGAACGAGGGTGACGAAACAGCAAAAGAGGATCAGTATCAGGAGGAGGTGGTGGCGTGGGGGTGGCTTTCTGAATAGGTCCTGCAGGCTCCAGCTGGCATTGGGGTGGCAGGGGTGGGGGGGTGAGAGGGTCTGTAAGGAGCAGGCTTGGTGAGAAGAAGATGGCACTTTTAGTGTTTATCTTCTAATGTTGGCTGAGGCTGTGAAGCTGCCTCCAACCTGGCTTATGCTTGAACTGGCCACAAATCCTGTTGGGCCAGGTTGGACGAGAGGATAGACCCCTCCACTTTAAGTTCAGTCTGTGTTCCTCGTGGCTGCCACTCTAGCCGGGAGCCGTTCTTCACCACGGCCTCAGTCTCCCTGGGGGACCGGTCATACTGCTGAGCACTGGAATGTCGAGGAGCGCTGGGGTAATTATGAAATGTGCTCGGCGCTCCTGCGGCCAGGGTGCTGTGGGGAGAAGATGGTGTTCTCAGGGACAGTTTTCCTCTGGGTTTTGAAAATGAACATCCCACAACCCCACATTGTGGCATATATCTCTGCTACAGGTTTTATTTTTCCTTGGGCCATTGATTTTTGATGGGGCCAAGTGAATTGTGAAAAATACCTTACAGAGTATGCTTAAATCTCAGATCAGCTGTAGAGCTCATTATATCCTTGTTAAGCAGATCCCATGGATTGTCATGAGCAGGATCATTTCTGGTCCCTGTTCCACGCCTCTTTGGTTATTGAAAATGGCTATTTAGTGCTTGTGAGTAAAAGACATACAGACCCAGGCTTGGGGTGAGCCAGAAAAATGTCACGGAGCCGTGGGCTTGGTGGGGAGGAGGGTGGGGGGGAGGAGGAGCCCACGAGAAGGGAAGAGCTTCCAGGTAACTCTCAGCTCTTTGGGGGGCCCTTGAGGCGAGGGTGGGATATATTGTTGACAGAAGAAGGCCCATAGCAGTGGTCACTCAAGAGTTAGAGGGCTAGGGCCGAAGTGCAGAAAGCATCCCTACACAAGAAGTCTATGGGGGGGGGTGCGTGGGAATGAAGATGTTTCTGTCACCCCCAAAAGGAGGACGGAAAGGCCCAGCAGAGCAGAGATGCTCACACTCCAAAAGAACCTACTGAAACCCAGTGGAGAGGCCTTGCACGTGGCCATGGACCAAGACTTCTGGGCCTGGTCCCCCAACTGACCTTTCTCTCCTGCAGCTTCACCAACACACTGGCGCTCAACGACCCTCTGCAGACCCTCTTCCAGCTCATGTCGGGGAGGATTCCACAAGCAGCCACGGTACCTTTCCTCAGCATCTCCAGGGTCAGGGTGGGTGGGGACTGCTGGCTCTGGAATGCAGCGATGGCTTTCTAGATGAGACAGGACCAATAACAGTCTGTTAGTTATTTGCCATGTTCCTGGCCCTGTGCTAAGCCCTTTGGTGCATATTATTTTATTTAATGCATGGAGGTAGGAGTTATCTCTGTTTTGTGGATGTGGAAACTGAGGCGCAAAGGTGTACATGGCTCAGGGTCACAGAGATGGTGGGGTCACTCTTGGCCCAGGTCTGTTTGACCCTAAAGACCTTGCCCTTCCTACCATGTTACGGCTGCCTGCTTTGCAGTGAAGCCCACATTGCTGTTCTCCAGGATCTCACGCTGGGCTGTGCTTCTCTACCCTGGGCAAGCTCTTCCCCTGGGCACCAGTCCTCAGATCCGACACGCTGCACTTCGCTTCTCCTGGAGCAGAATGTGGCTGAGAAGTCTGAGGCCTACGTGCGAGTTTTCCCATGATAATAGACTTGATTTTTTTTTGCCCCAAAGTATCCTTAGCTTTGAAGCCCAGTAACTACTAGGATGTATCCTAGTGTTGACTCTCTAGGTCAGTTTTCTTCCCCCCTGGGGCCTAGCACACCCTTTAAATATGTCCATTCATAAATTAGAGTCCGGGAATTTCCTTGAAGTTTATTCATCTATATTTGTCTCATTCCATTACTATGGTTTTGTTTTCAGGAATTCCATGTATATACATCTCAAATGTATAAGCTATATAAATACATGATATATATGTGTATATAAATGTATATAATTTTCTCTTTAATTAAAACCCTTTTCTCCCACCCACCCTCCGTCCCTTCGTTCCTATTTCTGCCTGCTGTGTTTTCACCAGTGTCTCTTGCTCTTGTGTCCTTCCATCTTTGTCTTTATTTCTTTGATGTTTCCCTCCACTTCTTTCCTGAGCTCTGCAGGTCTCCTCCCGTTGCCCACTATTTCTCTCCGGAGCTCTTGTAACTCAGCTTTATGCTCTTGCTTCATAGAAGCAACTGTTTCGTGATTTCCCTCTGCTTCTTTCTGGTGCACCTACATTCAATCTCCATTAATTTTGGCGCCTTTTCTTGTATTTTGAAGCTTGGAGTTTTTTCCTGACAACAGTTTTAAGGAAAATGGACATCACACTTTTTCTTTTTTGTCCTTATTGCTGTGGATAATTCTAAGAAAATAAAAGAGACCCAATGACTTCCATGACCACCGACGGGCTGTTTTGGAGCAGTGTGCCTCTCAATTCAGCTGAATGGCCTGTGCCCTGCAATGCAACACATCTCCACAAGAGCACTGTTACAGAACATGGTAGAATCAGCTTAGGGTCTTCTGGGTCTCGCTGCAGCAATAGAGTTAGCTACTTTTCCCTACTCATGGGTGAGAAAACTGAGGAATGAGAGGTGATGGGTGGGTGTAGGGTTTTCTCTGGGAGTGTGGAAGTTTCTTGGCATCACTCATGACACGGGATGAGTGGCTTAGGCAATGGCTTGGTAATGGGACATGCAAATGAGGTTTCATCACAGGTTTAACCTTGACTTTGCTGTTACCTCTGTGCAAGCCTGGCCTGATTACACAATCCCACAGAGCCTCAGTTTTTCACCCTTGTGGAGATTTTGTTACCTAACCAATAGGCTTATTGTGAAAAATGAAGAAGAGAGAATTTGTGAACCTATCATCCACCATGCCTGGCCCGTTGAAATTAGTTAATAATGTTTCTTCTTCTCCCCTTTACTCCATAGATCTGCTTGGCAGAGATGTGTTACAAACCATACAGGAATAGACAGAAGAATGAATTCCAATTTTCTTCCTTCCCCCTTATTTTTAGTAATGGATCTTCTTCTTTTCTGCTGCTTTCTTTACATCCAGCAGAAGAGGCCTGACTCTAGGCAATAATGATTCCTATCACATACGATTGTTGGATTGTTGGCAGGAAAATGATTAGCGTAGGATATGATTCAATACCTGAGCCAGGGTGGTAAATGAGAACTACTATTATTATTTTGATTTTTCATCATCAATATATTATATTGCATTGCCCCAAATAAGCAGGGAGTAAGTATAACAGAGTTGGATAAAGCATCTTTTATTCCTTGGGATAATTACAAACACCAAATAACTGTGAATAGTTTTGATGTCCAAATCTTAGTTATTACTGTCAATCTGCTCGACTCATCTGTGCAACAAACTGGAGTTGGACTGGCCTCTTTGCTGAGCTTACCTGTGTGTGTGTGTGTGTGTGTGTATTAATACCGATTATGGAATTTATAAAGTAAAAACCAAAGTGGCACAGTGGTGCATGCCTGTAATCCTAGCACTTCATCAGGCTGAAGTAGGGGGATCACAAATTTGAAGCCAGCCTCAGCAACTTAGTGAGATCCTGTTTTTTTTTTTTTTTTAAAAAGGGCTGGTGATATAGTTCAGTGGTAAAGCGCCTCCTTAGTTCAATCCCCAGTACAAACAACAAGAACCCAGAGTGAAGCAACTATGCTATGTGCTTTACATAGATATTACTTATTTTATTATCAACAATAATGCAGTTAGGTGGAAATCATGATCTCCATTTTCAGAGATGAGGAAACAAAGGTTAAAAGACATTAACAGTCTTGCTCGGGGTCACAGCTAGTATGAGGCAGGAATCAAGTCAAATCCAGGGCCTGTGTTCTTTCTAGGACCATCATATTGTTTATTGACAGTTTCTTCCCTGAAATTTTCCCTCATTTGGGAGAAGAGTGGCCCCGGGGCTAGCTCACAGGGAAAGCACCATTTCTGTTGTTTTTCCCCACGTTTCCACTTCTCTGCTGCCCCCTGGTGGAGTCTTTAGCCTCCCAGGGCAGGAGGGAAGTGACTGGGGATTGAGTACTGGCTGGGTGGACTGGCTATTCATATCCCTAAAGCGTAGTAAGAATCCGACCTCACAGGATTGTTGCAAAGGTTAGATATGATGACGGGTGTCAAGGGGCTTAGTAAAACCAGAAAACATTAGCAGTGGCGAGACATCAGGTGGCCTAGTGCTCCCTGACATCTGTGACAGGCTAAGGCAGTCTCTTCTACTCACAAGAAAAAGATGTTTGATCTTCCTTCTCCCACGCAAACATCAAGGTTTGTTTTTCTTTTCTTTTCTGTTTTGTTTTGTTTTGTCTTTGCTATTTGGGGTGAAAGTAAGGCACTGAGAAGAATTTAAAAATTAGTGAATGACTAATGTCATTTTGTTTATCTCCTGGTATTCTTAGGCACATGGGTATGTATGTCTGTGTCTATATGTGTCTGTCTGCCTGTCTATCTTTCTAGCAGTTTTGTCTTTTTATTTATTTTTAATGAGAACTCTAGATCAACATACGGTAGCACGGCAGTCAGTATCCTGAGTGTCCCCTGAATTCCTCCAAACCAAAAGACAGACAGCAGCCTTTTGTGTTAACCTGTATTCTGGGCAGCACTAAATGACTCTGTAAGCCTTCATTATTCTTCTGCTCTTTTTCAGTGTTGTGGGGACAAGCAGTGGGGGGACTGGAGGCCCCACTTGGCTGTGATTCTGTCAAATCAGGCTGGGGATTCGGAGCTGCACCAACGTGCTATTGTCACCATGGGGGACACCTTGGGTAAGTGGAAGCCTGCGCTGCCCCCTGCTCCTCTAGGGTATCTCCAGGCTGCTTTAAATACCTGTCCCTAGATTCTGAGATTCTGTGAAGGCCAGTCTATGCCCCAGGCCCAGGAGCTCTGCAGTTCCTCCCTGTATCTCTGCTCCCCAGAATCTCCACAGCAAGCCAGAGCAGGCCAGCCCGACACTTGGTGTTCTGATGCTGCAGACTCTCCTCTCTGCAGCCTCTTCTCTGCCCCTGGTGACTCCCCTGTACAAGGAGAAGCACAGAGGACAACGTTCCTGCTGCTGTCAGTCCTTCAGTGACGCAGCTCCGTCAGTTAGGGAACTCTGTTTCTGCCTGGACTACTTTTAAAAATCACGATAATAATAGCAGCCTTTAGTCTTTTACTCTGAAGTCTTTACTTCTGTCATCTGTCTAAACACAGCCTTGTGAGCACTTAGAGGCTAGTGCATGTTCCAGATGAGTGGTTCTTTAATTTCCTCAAGGGGCAGAACATCTAGAAACCCTGGTGTTCTGTGTGGAACTCCGTGAACGCTGCTCTGTTAAACCTGAAGTAGTCACGCGTCAGGTGCTGCCAAGAGGTGGGGTTTTTCAGCACCCTGGACGAGAGGTACCCATGTTTGTGGAGCCCCTCCTGAGCCAGGCACCTTGCTAGGGACTTGACCGACTGGAATTCATTCCATCTGGTTTAAGAATTGCTTCTTACATAGGGCCACTTCTTTGCTCAGGTGGAGACATACCTACTCACCCCGCATCATCATGAAGGACTAAAGTGTTTAGAAAATTCCTATGGAAAATCCATTAGGGAGAATGAGAATAGGGCCTTATTCTGGCTGAAGAGAACTGAAATGTAACACCTGAGGTCATAAGTCGGGTCAGTGAAGGGGGGGGCGCTGCAGGGGCTGTGACTCGGCCTATGAGAAGCTTGTTGATTTACTCAGGTGAGGCTTCTCCCCTGACCCCCAAGTCCACCCTTGCATCTCTCTCTCTCCCACCCACACTGTGGGACCCCACACGGCGGGCTCCATGACTGGGTCCTGTTCTGCTCCTCCCACAGCGGGGAAAGGGCTGGTGGAGGCCGCTCACTTCTGCTATCTCGTGGCTCACGTGCCCTTTGGCCACTATACTGTGAAGACGGACCATCTGGCCTTGCTGGGCAGCAGCCACAGGTATGTGACTTCGTGGGAAAGGGAAGAGCAAAGATGTTTGCCACTGGACTGTTGTAGCCCTTGCTGGGTTTCAAGGTGCCACTGTTTATTTTTCCTGGGAACTTTAGCTGCTGCTGCGCTAGCTCACCACCAGGGGGCCTCAGACCCCAGGTCCTGCTCTGCGAAAAGGGCCAGCTGGTGCCTTTGAGTTGTATTGTGCCACTCTGGACACTAGGTGGCATCCTGGTTCCACAACCAGAGATCCTCTCTAAAGAAACCCACCACAGCAAAACCCAAATCCCCAACCCACAACCCCCCTGGGCTGCTTCTAGGAGGCCACCCCAGGAAAAATAGGGAAGTGGAAGAAGTTTATGTTCCCCTCCTTGGAGCCCCAGCACCCCTACGATGACTGTGCACAAGTCCCTCAGAGCCCACTGGGGGGCTTATTACGCTCTGTTGGCTGTGATACCAGGTTTTTCACACAGGGGAACCTCAGCAAGCCTTTAGAGAATGAGTAGATGGACAGGCAGACAAGCTTAGTCCCTAGCAGTAACAGTTAGGATTTCTGAAGCTCTTGGGGCACTATTTCCCATGTTACAGATCTATCCTAGAGGAGGGTATATTTTCCATCTCATGGAGGAGGGAAAGCAAGCCACAAAGGAGTTAAAAAGAGCTTGCCCCAGCCACTATGCCAGGCTGGATGTGGGGTCCAGGCAGCCAGCTGCAAAGTCTGCTCCTGTGACACTTGCCCCCAGCTGCCGCCACCTTAGCGGCGACCACGTCATAGCCTGTTGTCTCGGGACCCTGGTCTCCACGCACAGTTAGCTCATCAGAGGGCCGGATGTGACAACAAGGGTGTTTGGACTAATATGTCCCCTTCCATTTCATGATAAATGAGGACATTTCTTGAGGCAATGTTCTAACCCCCAGGAATAATCCTGGTGACTGTGATTTCGGACACCATGGCAAGCTGTTCAGGGAAGAATGATCTGAGGGGCATGTGGGACACTGGTGGCCCCTCAGATTACACTCACCATGTCCTCCTCCTCGCTGAATGAGCATCCAGTGCAAGGCTGCCATTGCTCTCTGGCTCAGCTGTCCTCTGTCCTCTGCAAGGCCTTCTTTCCTGAGCGCACCTGGAGGGCCCTATGACTCCCTCTTCTGTGCCCCTGTGCTCAGGCTGGGGTGACTTTCCTGGGACATGCCAGGGTTTGGGGCACAAAGGCCAGTGCTTGGTATGTTTAAGAGGACTCAGTACCTTATTCTCCAGCAAAGAAGGCTGAGGAGGACCTCCTCTCTCAGCCTCTGCCTCCTACTGTCCAGGTGCAGAGCTCTGCTCTGCATCCCAGAGCAGACCTGCAGTCTCTTGGAGCCTCCCTGAGATCAGCCCAGGATGAGGCTCTGCCCAGAGGATGCAGCTGGTTTGGGGTCTACTAGGACTTAGCTCTGTCCCTCACTCCCCAATCTCTTTTATTATTATTCTCTGGTTTTAGCCAAGAGTTTTTGAAATTCGCAACAACCGAGGCTATCCAGAGGACGGAAATCTTCGAGTACTGCCAGATGCTGGGCCGCCCCAAGTCCTTCATCCCCTCTTTTCAGGTAACTGAACCCGGTTGAGGGCACCAGCTGAGCTGTGCAGGCTCTGGGCAGCTGGATTCCCAGCTTTGCGTTTGGCACATACTTCCCGGGGCTAAGGCATCCACCGTATTTCTCCTCATTAGTGTGAGAATGGGGAGGTTAGGATTTCTTTTCATGTCCCCTAAAGGTCTACATTTTACAATATGAAAGCGGAACCTGGCAGATGCCTCTCTGCTGGAGGCTCCTGCCTCACTCCAGGCACAGGAGAATCCTGCTTGCCGTTCTGGGCCCGCCTCCTCCCACATCAGCCCTCTCTCCTCTTCTCTTGCTGCCGCCTCTTCCTCCTCCTCCTCCTCTTCCTCCTCCTCCTCTTTCTCCTCCTCCTCCTTCTCCTCCTCTGCCTTCTCCTTCACCTTCTCCTTCTCTTTCTACTCCTCCTCCTCCTCCTATTCCTCTTCCTCCTCCTCCTCCTCCTCCTCCTTCTCCTCCTCTGCCTTCTCCTCCACCTTCTCCTTCTCTTTCTACTCCTCCTCCTCCTCCTCCTCCTATTCCTCTTCCTCCTCCTCCTTCTCTTTCTACTCCTCCTCCTTCCCCTCCTCCTCCTCCTCCTCCTCCTCCCCTTCCTCCTCCTCCTCCTCCCCTTCCTCCTCCTCCTCCTTCTCCTCCTCCTCCTTCTCCTCCTCCTCCTTCTCCTCCTCCTCCTCCTTCTGTTTCTCCTCCTCCTCCTTCTCCTCCACCTCCTTCTCTTTCTCCTCCTCCTCCTCCTTCTCCTCCTCCTCCTTCTCCTCCTCCTCCTTCTCCTCCTCCTCCTCCTCCTTCTCCTCCTCCTTCTCTTCCTCCTCCTCTTCCTCCTTCTCCTTCTCTTTCTACTCCTCCTCCTCCTTCCCCTCCTTCTCCTCCTTCCCCTCCTTCCCCTCCTCCTCCTTCTCCTCTTTCTCCTCCTCTTCCTCCTCCTTGTTCTCCTCCTCCTCCTCCTCCTCCTCCTCCTCCTCCTCCTCCTTCTCACCTCCATAGCAACCTGCCCAGAGGGAGGCCCAGGGAGTTGGATGCCCACCCAGGGCACTTGCCTTCCCCTCCTTCTGACACTGCCCCTTGGCCCTCCTTCCCCACTCTGTCCTTGGCCCTCAACCTTCTCCCCTCTGAGGGCTTCAGTGGGTCAGGTGGGGCCCATGCTGAGGTTCTGTTCTCTCTTCTCCCCTTCTCTACTTGGTGTCCATTGTCACTTGTATTCATGGTGACTAATGGCGATAATCGCATCCTCCTGTGCTCCCAGGTCCATGAAGCTTCCTCTCTTCCTCCTGCTGGTGGACTGTCGTGCAGCCCTCCGTGGCCTTGGCTGTGGCCTTGGTGTCATGGTGCCTGCACTCTGGAGCTGGCCTGAGCTGGAGCCGGTTCATTTCTGTAGTGCACTGGAATGGAGCTGCACCCAGAGTGACTGCTCTCACTGTCCAGACGATGGCAGCCACAGCCAGGGCCCCCTTTGACATTTTTTTTAAACATTTATTTTTTAGTTGTAGTTGGGCACCATACCTTTATTTCACTTATTTATTTTTATGCAGTGCTGAGGGTCCAACCCAGGGTGCCTCACAGTGAGGCCAGGGCCACACCCCAGCCCCTCCCTTTGACCTTGAACTCACGTTGCCTTCATTTTCTTTCTTCACGTGGCAGCTACCTAATTTCCCTACTGGAATTGTCTTCTTTAGGCAGAGACTATTTCTTTTCTTAATTTTTTAAAAAATATTTGTTTCAATTAGTTACACATGACAGTAGAATGCACTTTGATACCTCATAAATAATGAAGTAAAAATTCTCATTCTTCTGGTTATACATTATGTAGAATCCCACTGTCACATAGGTATATATGTAAGTAGGGTAATAAGGTCTGATTCACTTTATTATCCTTCCTACCTCTGTCCCCTTCCCCTCGCTTCACTCCCTGCTGGTGGGACTGCAAATTGGTGCAACCATTATGCAAAGTGGTATGGAGATTCCTCAGAAAACTTGGAATGGCACCACCCTTTGACCAGCTACCCCGCTTCTTAGTTTATACCCAAAGGACTTAAAATCAGCAAACTACAATGATGCAGCCACATCAATGTTTATAGGAGCTCAACTCACAATAGCTAAACTCTGGAACCAACCTAGGTGTCCTCAATAGATGAATGGATAAAAAAATGTTTTACACACACAACAGACACACACACACAACACACACACACACACACACACACGATGGACTATCACTCAGCTTTAAAAAAGAATGAAATTATGGTATTTGCTGGTTAATGGATGGCGCATGCTAAGCGAAATAAGCCAATCTCCAGAAAGCAAAGGCTGAATGTTTTCTCTGATATGTGGATGCTAATTCACAGTGGGGGGTGGGTAGGGAAGAACTGAAACCTTTTCTGCTGACTCCTTGTGTCTCCTTCAGTGCTGGGTATTGAGAGTGTGCACAGCAACAATAACTGCACACACACACACAACACAACCTTGGAACAAATGACTGTATTATTATAAAGAAATGATGCGTTGGGTATTGCCTCTTCCTTCAGAGTCTTGCCAGAGACCGACCCCTCCCAGCAGACATTGCCCCTCAGCTCTTCCCATGGCTCCCCTAAGGGGGGAGGCCGGGGGGGGCACTCTGGCCTCTTTTCAGTGCCTTGTTTATTTGTCCCAGTGCTCAGTGGTTTTGGTGCTGCTCTGGGCTGATAGTGATGAGAGCAGCTGGTTGCCCTGGGTGTCCCAGCTTCCTGGCATCCTGCTACGGTGCTTCTTGTGTGTGATCTCTAACCCTGTGGGGAAGGCAGGGTTAACTCCCTCCCACTCCGTTTACAAAAGAGGAAACTGAGGCGCAGAGGGTCCCAAGTTATCGATGCTCTTCTCTCACATACCGTGTGTTGCAAGTCTTTATATGGGTGATCTCACTGAATTTTCACAACGACCAAAGGGGTAGGTGGCATGGCGAACCCCATGCTGCAGTAAGGAAACGGAAGCACACAGAGGTAGGTAACTAGTTACCTAGCCTGTGTCAAGCTTGGCTGTGATCGGGTCTTCTAGCACTCAGTCTTTGGGCTTGGTCCTGCTTGGCCCTCGTGCTTGTGTGAGAGCTCACCTGTCTTGTCTGCACCCGTGGGCTCTAAGCCCTTTGTGCTGAGTCTGTTTTTGCCTCTTCCTATGTGTCCTGAGCTTGGTGTTAGGCTCTCTGGGATGTGGGCTGCTGGGGAAGAAGTCAGTCCTCCCGTGTCTTTCCCCAGTGACCAGGGCCTGGGAGGGTGAGCTGAGATGACCCCATCCCTTGCTCTATAATGTAGGAGCTACTGGCTGGATTTGGAGCTGTGCCCGTGCACAGATAAAATGCCCCGGATGGCACAGGGCCCTTGATATCTGGATGCCAGAGCTAGCAGAACCAGCAATCAGCTGACTTCCAAGAAGTCTTATCTGCGTTTCTCTCTGTCCCTGCCTGGATGGACTCACCCCAGCCCCTTCTCTTCACAGGTATATAAGCTCCTTTATGCTTCCCGTCTGGCAGATTATGGCCTGGCCTCCCAGGCCCTGCATTACTGCGAAGCCATCGGCGCAGCTGTCCTGAGCCAGGGAGAGAGTAGTCACCCTGTGCTATTAGTGGAGCTCATCAAGGTGAGTGTCTCAAAGGGTCCTCTGCAGGAGTTTTATCTTCAGCATTCAGAGAAAGCTATTGTAGAGCAGCTTAGACTTCACATTTCATCTTCTTTGAACATGCTGCAAAATTGGAACCCACAGCTGTCTTTGACCACATAAGCGTGCCCCGATGTGATAAGCACAGAGAAGGATGTGCTGGGTGGGGGGTGGTGAGATCTGGGGGCTGGAAACCAGGCATGTGCTCCTTGAGAAATTCATTCTTGCATCTGCTTTTCTGGTACAGTAAAACCGTGTGCCATTGTGAGTTGTTCTAATCACAAAAGCCAGCATTAGAAAATATATTTTAGTTGATTAAAACAGGAAATGATCCTTATTAAAATGCCTTTAAACGCATGGAATATTTTATCACATATGGGATACATTTAAAAAGAAAACAAAAAACATATCAACCCTTAGTTCCTGGGGAAGTAAACAACAATCAGGCAAATAGTTGTTCCAATTAATTGAAGAAAAATCCATTAGCTGTGGAGCAAAAGGCAGCTTGTCCTTAAGGTTTTGCTTTGGCTTAGAGGGGGCCCACGTTTTGGATTCTGTAACAGGTAAACCTTGTGGTGCTGACTTCCTGTTCCCTGAAATTTCTGGCAACAGGTTGATGATTGCAAGGGGCTTTGGGACCCAGGATCGATGATTGGGGTTTGGGGACACGATCATGGAATGAAGCCTCTCAGTGACCTCAGCCACCTGGGAGCTGTTAGAAGTGCAGGTCCCAGGCTCCACCCAGGAGGCTGGAATCAGAATTAGCCTTTGTAACAAGGTCCTGGGTGACTCCTGTGGGCCCTGAAGTTTGGAGGCCCTCTTACAGAGAAATGGCCAGGAACCGTTTCTCATCATATTTTGTGTAGCATCCAACACCAAAATGGGCTACTTGTTTTAAGTGTGCTGCCATTTTGGGAGGGCATCTGCTGGATCTCCTGTTTCTTGTTGTTTCAAACCGAACTTACAAGTTACTTACGGCTCTTTCTCCTTTCCGCCCCTTTCCCACCCTCTTCCGTGTCTTCTATTTTTCCCTCTCTTCTTGGCCCTTCTGGCCTTCTGGAAACCCGGCACAGCTGGCAGAGAAACTGAAGCTGTCAGATCCTCTGGCTTTAGAAAGACGCCGTGGGGACAGGGACCAGGAGCCAGATTGGCTACTTCAACTGCGGAGGAGGCACAGGGAGCTGGAGGTGAGGAGGAAGGAGCTGCGTTTCCCTCTTCACTCCCCTAGAAATAGAATAAGCTCACCAAGTGCCTGCGGAGCCTCCCACCGTCCCTGCTACCCAGGCTGTGTCCTGGGAAGGGTGGGACTCCCAGGGACCTGTGGCTGCTTCTCTTCCCGGTCTGAACTATGTCTGCATGTGACACAAGGGGGCGCACTTCCAAACCACTCTTGCCACCCTTCTCTGAGGTCCCAAAGAATGTGTTCGTGACCATCAAAGCTTCCCCATCTCTGCTAGGAACAATGGATCACAGTGGACCTGTGTCACTTTCATGTAATGTAGGGCAATTGCTTAAAAGACTTCCGGGCCTTTTCTCTTTGTTCTGACAATTGCAAAAGCTGCTGGCCATAATCAGAACCTAATTGGAGCAGGGCCTCCCCCATTTTCTTTCTTCCACTCTGCTCTGAAGAAAGGACAAAGTGGATTTTTAAAAGCATGCAGCCTTTTCTCCCTCCTTCTGCTGCGGACTCTGAGGCCTACAATTTAGTTCTTTCTATCTGCCCCTCACTCTGGGGAGAATGGATGTGTTGGTTTGCGGCCATCTCTGTGGCTCTAGCTGCGTTGGGAGACCTGGGAGCCAGTGTCCTGGGCCCTGAGCACGCAGTAGTCCCCTTTCCTTGTCGCTTCCACTGGAATTTTCTTGTTGACTTAATTTTTCAACGATCTTGTCCCCTGTCCTTGTTGTTCTTAGGCCGCTTAAAAGGATTTTACTTTATTTTGAATAGCAAAAGGCAGCAGGAGACGTTGGAGATCCTCCTTCTGCTCGCTCAGATATTTCAGGAGCCAGAGGAAGAATGACAGGTATCCAAAACGATGCACGGACACTGGATGGGACTGTAGTAGATGAGGTAGCTTAGGAAGTGCCACCCTTGCGTCCCCATTGCTCCAGCTGCTCCCCCATAGGCTTCTGTGGGTCTCACACCCGGACACTTCTAAATCCCTGCGCTGTGAGAGTTTCTGTCTCATAGTCGGGCTTATTTTTTTCTGGTACCAGGGATTGAACCCAGGGATGCTTAACCCCTGAGCCACATCCCCAGGCCTTTTTATTTTGGGACAAGGCTTCACTAGGTTGCTTAGGGCCTCACTAAGTTGCTAGGGCTGGCTTTGAACTTGTGACTGCCTCAGCCTCCTCAGCCTTTGGGGTCACGGGCACCTGCCACTGTGCCCAGCTCACAGTCAGGCTTTTAAGTGCCTCTTATGTGTGTTGCTTCACCTATATTAGTGCCTTCTCCCACCTGGATAAGTTTCTTGAGGCCAGAAATCATAGGTTACCTATGTCGAAGGTGATTGCTGGGACATTAGACGCTCTGGAGATTTTGGAGCTCTCGGTTGCCATCTCACCATGAAATAAGTGTGTTTCAAAGGACGTCACCCCTGTTCCTCCTTCAGGATGCCTCTGAAGGGCTGGTCAGCAGGCGTTATGCCCTCAATTACCTCCATATCCTTTTCCCCAGTTACCACCCTGGTGGGGTCAGGCAAGGGCTCTCGTGGCTTCCCTCCTGGCCATGTCCAGCCTTTGGCACTTCCTTCAGGGAAGAGCAGAGGGTGGGGAGAGAGGAAGAGGGAGAGAGGAGGGCCTTGCTTTCTGCTTCTGGGATTTGCCACTGAGCCACAGGGCTGCGGAGGTGCAGGCTGGGGAGAGCCAGGCTGGTGTCTCAGGATGGCTGCTTCCTGGCAGCCCTGTCTGCTGATGCCTAGTGGAGCAGTGGGCTAGCGGCCTACCCCAGACCCCGACCTTGTGGCCCGGTCACTTCCCACATCCACACCTTAGGTGTATCTTATCAGCAGGGTCCCTTCCAGGGCAAATGTGCTCTGATTCTTTAAAAGTAAGGTTGTGGTTTCTAAGGTCCAATTTGTTTTTTTTTAAAATAGTTTTTATAGTTGTAGATAGACACTATATATACTTATTTTTAAGTGGTGCTGAGGATCAAACTCAGGGCCTCATACATGCGAGGCAAACTCTCTACCACTGAGCTACAACTTCTGCCCCCAAATTTGAGTTTTTAACTAGAAGTTTCCTGGGTTTCCAAAACCCAAGTCCATTAGGAACTCCTTAGTGGAGAGTTTATCCCAAAATTAAAAGATGTGGCATTAGATGGGATGGTAATTTTTTCCTCCTGATCCCTGGGTTAAGGACTCAGAGATCCTTCTAGGAAGTGGGGAGGATAGTACTTTAAGCAGCACCGAGAGGTGTAACTGTCATTCTGTGCTTTGCTAGTCATCACTGAAGCCCCACCAAGGGCTGGTCCTTGGGACTGTGTTCTAAGAGGACAAGGGCAGGGAGGTTTCTGATGTTATTAGTCTTCAGATGGTGCTCTTAGTCTCGCTGTTTCTTTGCCTTTCATCCTTAGACACTTCCTGCCAGGATCTTTTGGGACATCAAGGCCACTCAGAAGTCCCTGGGTACCACTCAGCTCTGTGGCCAACACCTGAGCAGATGGGCCTCCCTGAGCCCAGCCCACAGCAGCCCTTCCCCCTGCAGCAGGGCCCCTACCCAGTGGGAGGAGGTTCAGGGCACATGGAGGCGCCGGTGCCTCTCTACTCGGTTCCTGAGACCCGTCTCCCAGAGCCCAGCAGTGATAGTGGCGGTGACAGTGTGGCAGTGACAGGGGCTCCTGGAGGAAGGGCCTGGGAGGAAGCACTGCAGATACACCCTCCCTCTGGTAAGACCTGCTGGCCGGTGGATGCCTTGGGAGCACAGCTGTGGTGGGAGGAAGCCGGTGAGGGGGGTGCAGGGCCTGGGAGGAGGTGGGGTTGGAGCTGGGGAAGGCAGGGGCGTGGGCGTGCATGTGTCCCAGGCCGCCTCTCCCCTGGGACAGGTAGAGCAGGACACACAGTCCCTCCCGCCCTCTCCTGGACCACAGAGTCTCCAGGGAGCCACTGCAGGGTAGAGAAGAAAGGAAAATGCCACCTGTGCCTCGTTCACATGGCACCGCAGGGCAGGCCCGGCCGGACCCTCTCCCTGAGTCCTCCTACACCCAAGAGCTCATTGTCAGGGACTGTGGCAGGAACCTGTGCCCCTGTCCCAGTTCTGTTTCTTCAGGTCCAGGAGACCTTGGACAGCAGGGGCTGAGTGTGGGGGATCGATGCTGGGTCATACCCGCACAGTGCTGGGAGCCACAGGGGAGGACTAGATTCTTGGACCTTCTAAAATAAGACCCTGGCCAAGATGGAGACTTCCATGGAGCGGAGGCTGGGGGATCCCTGTCTCTCGCTCCCTGTTGCTCGGATTTCCCAAATCCCAGCGTGTCCTGGGGTGGCTGGCCACGCAAGTGGGCTTTGCATTTCCTGTGACCTCCTTGTGGACACAGGCTCCTTGCTGCTCTCCTGGGAAAATCATCTCCCTTCTGCAGGATGGGGGTGGGAAGCACAAATGCGGGTCACTCTCCTTGTTTCTGTTTGGTGCTACAGGAGAGAGCGCAGCATCCCAAGACACCTCTTGGCAACTCGATGATCCAAAGGACATTTCCAAACCTCAGGTGAAAGAACAAAGCGTGAGTGAGGACGATGCCTACTCAATGGCCCCGGGGGCTTGGCCACACTCCAGCTCCTCCCTGGTGTGGGGAACGTTCTCTTCCGCGTCACACCTGGTCTCTCCTGATTCTTTCCACACAGTCCTGGCATTTGGAGGGAGGCTGAGTTCTTGCTTATGCTCAGCCCCACCCACCTGTGCTCTGGAGGAGGGAGCAGCACAGCTGGCTCAGTTCTGGCCCCAGGGACCTCTGTCCCTTTCCTGCCTCATCCTCCCAAAAGCTCTCAGAACCTGCGCCCCTGTAGGAGACTTTGATTTCTATTTCCTTATTTTAATTTGTACCTTGCTTTATATCAAAGAAAGACCTATGGCAGCTGTGACAGTGCCCCTTATGTCTTTTCTCCTTGGTGGGTCTGGGAGGTGACGGAGGCGGCCATGTCTAGTTAATCATCCCATCCAGCTGCTGATTGAATGTGCCCCTTCGCTGGGCATTGGGCAGCTTTGGTACCAAACTGCAGATGTTGGGTTAGGAAATGAGCTCTAAGTGCCTCAGGTTCTCTGGTTGCTATGTTTCTTGGGCTTGGGGGTCTCTGTGGGTGTTTCCAGGCCCTCTTCATCTTCAGTGGTAGCTTCCCTGGCTCCTACACCAGGCCTTGACGTGGTTCTAGAGCAGAAGCAGAGCAGCCCAGACTCCCCAGGGTGGGGGGACACGAAGGCTGGATTCGACACCAGCCTTGCCTCAGACCTTCAGCAAGTCATTTGTATTTTCATGGCTAAGACTTGCTTCCTCCTCAGTAAGATACGGACTCCCTGAGACACCGTCCCTTGGATTTACTGAGTAGGTGGGGCGAGAGAGAGCGTGTGTGGAAATATGCTGTGCGACCTGCCAAGTGCTTATGCGAAGTCTGGGTCTTTATCAAAATCCAGGCCCCACCGGCCCCCAGAGCGCACAGTTTCTCTGAGAGTTCCACCAACTTGGGCCAGGAAGACCAGGAAGAGTCCTCTGAGGAAGCGGATCAGAAACCTTCCCCAAATGCTGCAGAGAGAGAGAAGCCGGGAGACGTGAAGGAGAACGCGAAGGTGGAGGGACTGGACCTTCTCTTCCCATCCTTCCTTCCTCTTCTGCTTCCTTCCCAAATAGTGGGCAGAATTGGAATCTAGACTAATCTGGACTAGGGAAGCGGTGTCCCCTTCCTTCCAGCCTTTGTCTCTCACTGGGGGCAGTTAATCTCACAGTCACTGGGGGGAAAGGAATCCCCAGGCCATAAAAATCCCTCTTTGCCTTCCAGAGCTCAGGATTTGGCTGGTTCAGCTGGTTTAGGTCGAAGCCCACGAGCAACGTGTCACCCTCTGGAGAGGAGGACACCTCAGACAGCACTGACTCGGAGGTAACCTCCGTGGGAGGGGAAGGGAGTCCCCTCCATGTGGGCCTTCCAGGGGACATCTCTCCAGCTCTGTGGAGCTGTGGGCTGCATCCGACTCCACCCTAGCCTGAATGAAACAGAGTCTTTGCATTGGGAGGTGATTGTAGGAAAGAAATTGGTTCTGGGAGGGCAAGGGCAGATTTCAAAAAGTCTTAATGATCAGGACAAAGGATTTTAACTTCAAAAGACCAACAGGAGGGAGCTGATCTGAATTACTCTGAGTGGAGTTGCAGGCCCTTTGGGGAGAGCACCCCAGTGGCTGGTGCAGGCGGCGACCACTGTTGCTGGTGTGGGACGCATTGCATGAATTTGTTAACCACCAATGTCCTCAGTGCTGCCTTTCTCCACAAAGCAGGAGCCCCCCAGAGCGTCCTCTCCCCACCAGGGACTCTCACCCATGCCTCTCCTTGAGTCTCCACCTCTGCCTGGTGCTGGCTCCTCCTCCAGGGGCACAGGTACCTACGACCTCTGGGCTGCCTGTGGGGTCATGGTGCTCTTGGGGGTGGAGGTGCCTTCAGGGAGTGGGGACTCCTCCCCAGTCCTGAGCAGAGGGAACGGCTTTGACTCTTTGCCTTCTAGGTGGGGGAGACCTTGGAAGATCCTCGTCCAGTGGGGAAACAGCCGAGGGCACTGGAACTGGGGGGTTCTCGGAGCTTGAGGTGAGCAGCCCCCTGGAGCCGAGGCCTCCACAGGGCTGTGTGTGTGGGTGAGCCTGGGCTTCAGCGTGGCCTGGAGGTGTGCCGCCTGTGTGGGGCTGGCCCGTGGGGATGTGGAGAGAGTCTGCATTAGTTTCTTCGGTTGATATGACAAAGCCCCACGGACAGGAGGGCTTAAACAGCAGAATCGATTTCTCACAGTTCTGAAGAAGTACAAGATCAAGGTGTCGGCTCTTGTGCAGCCTTGCTGCTTGGCTTGGTGACGGCCGCCTTCTCCGCGTGTCTTCTCGTGATCTTTCCTGTGTGTGCCTGTGTTCAAAATCCCTTCTTTCTAAGGATACCAGTCATGCTGGGCTAGGCAGCCACATGGCCCCTTTAAAGATGCCATCTCAAGCACAGTCACATTCTGAGATATCAGGGATAGGGCTTTGTCATGACTTTTTGGAGGGACACAATTCAGCTCATGCAGTTTCCTTAGGTGGGTTCTGGAGGACGCCTCTCTCCCTGCCTGGGTGGGGGCTGGAATCCACGGGTGCCCTTGGCTGGGGCTGTGATCAGTTCTTCATGAGTCCTCCACATCACTAGGGATTTCCTGCCTGTTGCTAGGAAAGCAGTTTTGTTTCTTGAAGCCTGATTAGAGCACTTTGGAGTGTTTTAGGCCTTCTGCAGGATGTGGTGTGCTTTTGGACTCTGGCTCTGTCTGCCTGCTCGCTGCAGGTACAGCAGCACCTGAGCCTCTGCATTGCTGGCCGGATCTGGGGGTGGGTTGAGCCCACTTGAGCCACGTTTGTTTGCTGTCAATGTCTTGAGTTTTAGGAGAAACCTTCCTCTCCAGTTGTCTCATGCCAAGTCGATGCTGAGGGAAGGCTTTGGTGTTCTCACTTGGGCCACTCACTGGGTTTCCATTGTGTTCCTTCCCAGGGTGTTTCTTCTGAGCTCTATTCCAGACCTGGCGTTCTTCCTCCACCTGCCTTGAAGGGGGCTGTTCCGCTCTACAACCCATCTCAGGTTCCCCAGGTAAGGACGCCCTCAGCGGGAGGGTCAGGAGCACAGTTTTTGAATGCAGGAGGCCTGGGTTTCTCATCCGCTGTACCACTTACTGTGGGGACCTACGTCTCAGCTACTGCGTCTGAGGTATGGGATTATTAGAAGCTACCTCACAGATGTGAGTGTGAAGTGCTTTGTACCTAGAAGATACTCAATAAATGAGGGCATTAGAAACACTGCTCTTGACCTTTAACAGGCTTAATTTGTGAGAGCCACAGTTGGTGCTGGTAGCAGTGGTGTGCGTATACCATCCCTCCATCCCGGGGTGAGAGGAGCCAAGCTCCCTGCTCCTTAGGGACTTGGGATTTAACTCATGCTAATGTGGCATTTGGCCTCCCTCTTTATACAATCAAATTTCTTTTCACTGTATTTGGGAGGCGAGGGTAGATCATGAGAATACAACCTTGGGAAGCCACCTGCAGCCAGAACATTCTAGATAGACACTGGGTGTGTGCCTGTGTGTCAGACCTGAGCAGAGTCGTGCTGGGAGCTGTGCTCTGGCCTAATGTGTGTTCTTCTTTTTCAGCTCCCCAGGGCTCCCAGCCTGAGTCGGCCGAGCCGCCTAGCTCAGCGCCGCTACCCAACCCAGCCTTGCTGAGAAGGAACTTGGTCTCCAGCTCTTCTCTCAGGAGCACAGCTTTTCTAATGCTCTGCCTTCCTCAGTCCCCATCCGCTCTGCCATGTCCAGGCCCTCAAGGTAGCCATGCCAGCCTGTTGCCTCCACTGGCATTTGGTGGCAAGGGAACAGGATCCCCAAGGGACCGCTCACTCCAGGCTTAAGTCTAGCTTCAGCACGGTGGAAACTCAGATGGAAAATCTGGGTATAAGAGGAGCCAGGAGGCTTGAGAACCTCAGGAAAAGTTAGGTCCCTAAGAATCCTGTGGCTCACATCGTTGGTGACCCCGCTGGGTGCTGCAGCAGGGCCTCAGAGCAACATTCCAAGAGCACACTGACCCCCTCCCCAGGCTTAGTTATAGAGAGTGCATCGTTTCAGTTTGCAAAGTTTTTACACTGCAACTCGATCACTGCTGCCCTTCAAGGATTCCCTCTTCAATGACATTTCAGCAATTTTCCTCCTGGTCCTAGTTTTCTGCATATTTTCTCTGTGGTTCAGATTAATTATATTTCCTCTCGCTTTCTTACCTGGTCCTATTTTTTCACATTCTGGCATCTGGCTATCAAGTTAGATTGCTGTAGGCATCATATTGTCATGGTAACTACTGAACCTAATGATGCAGATGGATGGAACATCAGTATAATAAATGATGGAAAACGTTTCCTAAAAATTCATCCTCTCCACGAGAGGGGAGGAATGAGTGTCTGATACAGTTAATTCTCCCTTCCTACCTCAGCCTTTTGCAAATTGATGTTCGGAAGTTCATTGGGGCCAGAGAGAGGAGGTGGGGGGATATCTTGGAAATTTCCATTTCTCCTTTCAGACCCCAAATAGGAATGATTCTTGCTGTTTGTCAGACTTGCTGACAATTACTCCTCACAAAGAACAGTTTTTTTTGTATGTGTAATTGTACATATGGGTTTTGTACTTTAATGTACTACAGTTCTGATGTTGATAGCAATTAAACCCAGATAATTTTATAGAAAATGCTTGTCTCTAGCTGATTTTTGCAGAGGGAGAAAATACATTGATGGGCTCTTCCCTGAGTCTTTCTAATAATGGTTTTATTGTGTGGCCAGGTGTGAATAGCTGGAGAGAGCCTTTTGTTAGAACCCAGGGACTGGTCCTCTTAAACTTCCAAGTCTACTCCAAGTATTATCATTTTTTTTTCAATTCAAAAAATATGGACAAAAGCTCATTTGACACAAACCAAGTCACTTCACTAACTAAATGTTGCCTGTTCTGCTCCTTAAAAAGTTTGTCACCTCTTAAATTAGAAAATGCATGCCCAAGTGTTTTGCATCTAGAAGGCTCTCAGTAAATGCCTGTGCCTGTTCTTCCTTAAAAGGCTGCAGCTGCTTCTGTTTGGTATCCTGACACCTAGTGGCAGTTCTGTGGCAGGAGCTTGGAGTTTCACAGGAGCCAAACTGCCTAGACTTGAATCCTGTCACATGCAGTTCACTTGTAACCTTGGGCAGGGCTACCTCAATGTCCCGTGCTTTACTTGTCTCACCTGTAAAAGAGGATGATAATAGTAATAGTACCTATCCTGTGGGGACATTGCAAGGATTAACCAAATCAAGTCCTACCCACTAGAAAGAGCACTCACGTCAAAGGAGGGGAGTGAAGACCAATAGGGCAAAGCCCTCCTCCCCAGGACGACTCCTGCAAGGGGCTGCTGTAGTGCTCAGCACAGCAGGCTCTGAGCGCGCTCACTTCCCAGGCAAAAGATACCTGACAGTGACCATGTTTTCCACGAAGGGAAAGGTAGGCTGTTTCTGCGGGAGAGGCAGCAGGTTCCTGTGTTTATGCTAATCTGTCCTCAGGAGTTCTCACTCTGGCAAAGTCAGAATGTGGCCATTAATTTGTAGAGGCTTGGTTAAAACAAATCCCATTGGTCATTGGTCAGGGACGTCAGGTCCGGTAAGGGTCTGATTAAGTTCTTGGCTGCTTATCATCTTTGGCTGGGTGCTGGTGCCAGCATTGCTAAAGGTCATGGTCATTTTACAGCTTCAGCTGGTAAAACCCAGTCATGGTGAAATGAAGCATGTGCAGCTGTCAGAGAAAAGTGCGTCCCCTCCCCGCCTTTGTATGGTGGAAGCTCAGGCAGAGAGAGGGAATGGGAATGTGCTGGGATTAGAGGCCCCATCTCTGCTCTTCCACATCCTGGGAGAGGCTGCAGGGCTTGGGGAGAAGTTGGTGTTGGCTTGGTCACCGGTCCCATGTGTTCTGAGAGCCACAGCCACTTGGTCTTGGGGGATGGCCAGGGCCACTATCTGAGGCAGAGCCCCAGCTCCCTGCAGCCTGGTGTGATGTGGACTCCAGAAAGGAGTAACCGCACAGTGTCCCAGAAGGCCTGATGGATAAGCAGTGGCCCCAGAAGACAGCAGGTGAGGTCTGGGCCAGACCAACCCCAGCAAGGAACAGAGCACACCACTGTGGCACCCAGGTCCTCCTTCCCATCACCAAAAGCCACTGCAGGAGGGACCGAAGAGAATTCCCTCTCTCTAAACAAAGGGACCACCCAAAACACTGTTTCTAGGGGAAGATAAGATATTACTAGTTGGCAAGTTTGCTTTTCCCTGTGCTTCTCAGTGGAATTTGAACTGCGAGGAAGAATAGACCAGTGATGGGAAATAGAGAAGCCATGTTTTCCTTGCAAAACCGAGCACTAGTGTGTGAATTTGCAATTCTGCTATATACACATAACGTAATATTTATATGAAAACCTTTAAACTTAATGTTCAATAATTTGAAAGAGAACAAACTGTTAAATTCCATGTAAGTGTCTTTATCACACACCACCATTCCAGCCCTCTGTCTAATCCCTGTGAGTGGCTATAAAACTCTGAATGGGCCTCGATTCTTCAGTCCCCGGAACATGCGCCCCTTTCGGGCCTAACTCGGCTTCAGGTTGCCTAGCATGGAAGCCGCTGCTAGCCATCCTGTCCCCCCACCCACCAGGGGCTTTCCTTTTGGTCCTTCCTGTGAGTGACCAAGAAGAAGAACAAGACACTTCGTCCACCTCTTCACTAAAGTCAGAATATTTTCTATCCAAGAGGTAATATGCACAATGCTCTTCTGCTTGAAAAGAAGAATAAACATGTACTTTGGGTCTCTCCAGTCTCATGAGGCTTTCTGACTCCCCGCCACCCATTCTCACAAGGAGTGGAAGTGACTTTTTCCCTTTTCTGCTTTTCGCTTTAGGCTGGAAAACGCATATCGGGTGGTGTGGTCTGTGAGTGACAGCACTCAGCCGAGGTTGTCCCTAAATGTGGCCTTGAATCCTGCCCGCTCTCATGACACACCTGGCCATCACTCACACAGGCCCCTCAGACATGGCTTCTTAGTGAGACGTACAGTTATTTTCAACAAAGATTAATAGTGTGTTAAAATGCTCTCACTTCGTGGAATCTGCTTCCCACCCTTTCCTCCGCTCGAGTATTTCCGTCTCTAGGTAATAGTGCTTCTCTGGAACAAGGCCACAGTTTGACCTGTGAGAACTGCTTGTTAATGTGAGATGCTTTCCTGGCCCCTGCCCATCTTAGGAAGAGACCACTCAATTTTAACTATTCAAACTTTAAAAATATCTTGGGAGGGGGTTCCGCGGCTCTCCTGGAGGTTTAGCTGTTGGTGCCACATCTTGAGACATTAAGGAGCTGTGCCTGATACTTTGTACCCAAATGGCTCATGTGGCTCTTTAAGACTCTCAGCTGCTTCCCACCACCTCTGCCCCAAATTTTGTCACACTTTGGAAGGCCCCTGACTCATGCCTCAGCTCCTAAAGTGAAGTCCTGCCAAGTGGGGTTCTCGTCAGGAGAGTTGGGGACTGAGCTGGATACATTCTTGGAGTCTTTTGGAAGCTGTGGTGTTAGATATTCTCAATTTCCATGAGAGGGGTAATATTTATCCACGGTGTGCATTTTGAGAGGTAAATAGTCTCGTTATTTCAGCATATAACAAACATCTGAGGAATCAGGGTGAAGAGAGAGGGTACATATCTGGTCCAAGGTTGCTTGGTTGGTAGGGACAGAGCTGGAATTGTAGTCCATGCAGCCTGACTTTAGAATCTGGGCCTTTAGCCATATTGTACCTGGACATATGTTCATTTTTTCACTTATTCATCAAATAATTGAATGGTATGTCAGGCAGTACAGTTTTTTTCCTGGACAATCTGACTTAGACTTGCCAAATGGCCATCACAGAATTCCTTCCTGCATTAAACCTGTCCTTTATAGCATTTGGAGGTGGGAAAAAAATCACGAATATAGCCATGGACTCCTCTGAAGGGGGGGAGGCCAAGATGGGGAGTGATTTTGGTTTTATTCACTTATATAGTACCATCCCATAAGGCAGTCTTCAGATTGTATCTCTTTTCACCTCATCTCCACCCCTGAACTCTTTTATTTCCCTTTCCTCACAATCACTTTTTACTCCCGAGAGAGGAGTATCCAGAGGACATCCTCTCTGTGAGCCATCTTCCAACTGGCTAATACCATGAAGACATCTGTATTAGTTTGTCTTCCATTGCTATAACAAAATAGCCAAGGCTGGATAAAGTCTAAAGAGGTTTGCTTGTTTCACAATTTTGGAGACCAAAAATGCAATATCAGATACCCCTATTTGGCTTTTGGTGAAGGCCCCATTTGGTAGTTGTATTAACTATGGTGATGTAACAAGAAGAGATCACATGGCAATACAGGAAATCAGAGAGGAGGGGCCCATCTTGCTCTTTGTCCATGAGAACCACCTTCATCTGTTCCCAGAGCAGTGCTCCCAATGACTGAACCGTCCGCTATGAGTCTCCACCTTCTAAAGGTTTCACCAACTTCCTCCTTGCCACACAGGGGATCCAGATTCCAACACCCAGGCCCTTGGGGATACACTTAAACTACATGCAAATGATAGTCACACCCATGGAGTCCCCCTTAGCAGAAGAGGATGGATCAGATCCTATGTCAATAAATCCAACTTTTGGCTAATTTCCTTTTTTTTAATATTTTCCCAAACTGAGTTCTTGGAAACCAGCAGCCTTGGCTTTTAAAACTGGTGTCTGAGTTTTCAGAGCCATTTTGCAATGCAAGAGATAATCATGGCTTCTCTCTTGCTTTTGTGTTCTACAATCATCGTTTGGGATCACGAGAAAACCTTGTTGTATAGGAATAGAAATTATTGGAGTTTGGGGTCTCAAGATTTTATTCTTACTCCTTTGGATATTTTAGATAAATACCCACGACTTAAAAACAACCTGGAGCCTCACAGTCATGGCCTCTTAATTTTTAAGCTGCATTTTGCAAATAAGAACAACAACAAACCCAGCCCACAGATGGCGTTAGTCATCCTCACGATGAACATCAATTAAAACCTCGAGTCAGAATCCAGCTCTGTGCGGGCAGATCTATTACTGACAAGTTGTAGATACGTTGAGATTTGCTAAATCAAATTAATTTTTGAATGTACCGGAATAGCTTGCAATTTAAAGGTAATTGATGTGAAGCCCTTAAAACAAAGAATTATTTGCACGGAAAACAATCACTCCCAATTTCTCACTCTGCAGAAGTGGACTTTGTAGTCTGGGGGAAGATTTAGGAAGAATGGGAAGAACTTCAGTGCCAGACACTCAACTCCTCCTGGTGACTTTAAGTTAATTGACCCTCTTAGTGCCCCTTACTTCTCAGGTAAATTCTGGGGATTCTGTCATCCAGCCAACTTTTTTTTTTTTTTAAGGACCTCCCAGGGGCTGGATAGGTGAGAACAAAGTCCTAGCTCTTTGAGAAAGAGCTTACAGATGAACTGGGAGACTAGTAAGTGACAGAGCCACCAAGTCTGCTGTCCCAGGTGCTGTTGGTGTGTCATGTGCCCCTAACTCTGCCTAACTGGGAGGGAGACTATCTGGAGGATTCTGGACCATGCAAATTTATCAATGAAAAAAAAAATTGGCCTTGAGAGGTTAGTCCATTTTCCTGAATCTCCTTAATTAAAGTTTT